ACTGTCAATTTTGGGCAATGGATAACTATCTTTAGGGCACACCTTGTTCAAGTCTGTGTAGTCCACACACATGCGCCAGGTACCATTCGGCTTTTTCACTAGCACAACGTTTGCAACCCAGTCAGGGAAATAACATTGCCGAATGAACCCTGCATCAAGTAACTTTTTAACCTCGGCAGCAGCCGCCTGGCTTCTTTCCTTGCCATGGTTTCGTTTCTTTTGCCTGACCGGCTTCTTTTTCGGATCCAAAGCCAACTTATACACATCCAAGTCTGGACTTATTCCTGGCATCTCATGTACTTCAAATGCAAAAATATTCTTGAATTCCTTCAAGAGTTGGTGAAAATCATCACCAAGTACAGCCAGAGAAGTCGTCCCAACCTTAACAGTTCGGTCAGGACGTGAATCGTCCAGAATGATGTCCATATGCTCACTGGCTGAGGGCGGAACTCGTCTGGCCGCTCCTCGGCCAGTGATTGCTATCGTTTTTCTTTTTCTTTCGACCCCCAAGTGGGCGACCTTTCTCTTCTTGTCGCCTATTATTTGAGCAGGCGCCTCATCCTTGATTTGATCAAGGTCATCTTTCTCTCCACTCGGGCTAGCAGCCGCCACAGTGGGTTTGATATCAGAGAGATAACACTCTCAAGCCATTTTCTGGTCTCCCCTTAGGGAGCCGACTGATCCGTTATCCCTCTCAAACTTGAGGAGCATGAGAGATGGTATGATGACGGCTTTGGAACTGTTCAAGGTGGGTCGTCCCAAGATCATATTGTATGCCGAGAGTTCCTCGACTACCAAGAATTGGACCACCATGTGACGGCCCTCTCCCTTCTCACCCAGGCGGATAGGCAGATCTACTCGTCCCAATGGGTGTACGACGCCTCCTCCAAACCCCACTAAAGGGTGAGATACCGGATGTATGCTGTCAGGTTTGTACTTGAGCTTTGCCAAGCACTTGTTGCTGGTTAAATCAGAAGAACTTCCGGTATCTATGAGAATCCGACCAACTCTCTGGTTGGCCACTTTGCATTTAATTACGATGGGGTCATCATGCGGCCCCCTAACACCTCCCAAGTCTTTCTCAGTGATTATAACCTCAGGAAATGAGCTTTTGGAGGTCTGTCCTTGCTCGACGGAGTTAACATCCAACCGCCTGATGTTATCTTTGTTGGCCTGGATAGTAGGACCACCTCCTGCGAAACCGCCTGCTATAGTATAAATGGGCGCTTCATCAGTGTCAGAGCTGTCGGCTGTCCGCTGCTTTTTGTTGGTCGCCTGTTTCTGTTTGAGGGGTGGTTTCCCCTTTGACTTCTTGACATAAGAGTCAAGATCTCCTTTATCTGCCAGGCGGTCCAATAGACGCTTGAGGCTGATACATTCATTGGTTTCATGACCAATGTCCTCGTGATAGTGACATTTTTTATCTTGGTTCCGATTGCTGGCAGAACCCTTCATTGCGGCCGGCTTCTCAATTGACATCCGACCTTTGATTTCATCGAGGATAGCATGGCTATCCTTGTTAAACTCATACTTGGGGGAGTATGGTTTAAATTCCTCTTCTTTTTCTGGGACGGCTGTTCAGAGGAGTCGGCCTCCCAGACTTCTTTTCTCTTTTTCTCATCCCTATTGGCCAACTGTTTTGGCCGGCTTTCTTGTTTGTCAGACTTTTTGTGGTCCGACTGCTTTCCAACATTACAGAGATCAGTCGCATGTATGTAAGCGTCCGCCTCCATCATTGCTTCTTGGAGGGTGGTCACCCTCTTTCTGACAAGGTCGAACTTAAAGTTCGACCCGTCCTTCAGACCTTTGAAAAGTCTGTATAGGCTACCTCATCAGGTAGTCCTTGTATCTGAATTCTCATCAGATTGAACCTCTTTATGTAGGAGCGCAGTCCCTCCTTCTCTCCCTGTTGTACGACCCCCAGATCAAGGGTGGTCTTCTTAGCAGGAATGTTCATTGCAAAATTTGAAGTGAACAAGTAGGCGAGGGTCTTAAAATTGTTGATACACCCGGCCGACAAGTTGCCAAACCATTGCTGGGCGAATTCTTTCAAAGTGGCTGGGAAACACTTGCACCATGTGGCATCATCCAACCCTTGGAGGTACATTAAGTTGGTGTATGCCATCATGTGATCTTCTGGGTTGGTAGTGCCATCATATGCCCCTACCAACACATTTTTTACTGTGGCCGGCTGAGCGACCTCTATTATTTTCTTAGAGAAGGCGGATGGCTGTTCTCCAAGTTTGAGCAACCTAAGTTGCCAGTCCAAAGGCTGGACACTCCTTGCCGCCTGTCCTTCAAAAAGAGTAGGCTGCATGAAGTATTGGGACTGCGGGACGTATGGTTGAGGGATATACGAGGCCGTCTGATGCTTTTGGGAAGCAGAACGAGAGGAGGCTCCAGGCGTCTGGCTCTCATAGTTTGATCTTGAATACCTCAGGGAGGTATTATGTGGGCTATCCTGAAAATCAGACGTAGAGGCCGACTCTGACAGTCGGTCACTCTTCTTCTGCTCAAGCAACATTCGAGCATTAGAAAATGTTCTCTTTGACCCGTCCGGCTGAATATGACGAATGGGCTTTCTCTTCCCTGGTGAGGGAAATCGATACTTAGTTAGGTCGATCACTGGCACCCCCTTCTCCCTAGGCTTAGGGTAAGGGGTTGCCTCCCGATCCTTTACAAACTTCTTCCTCCCAGATTGGGAGGGTCTTTTGGCCGACTGTTCCTTTGGTGGAACAGGCGTCCTCTTATTGATCAGCTCCTGGATCTCCCCTTTGAAGCTATTCATGAAGGTCATGAGTTCACTTCTAGTGATGGGGGCAGATCCCTTAGCCGCCTGTTGATGATCAAGCGGCTAGCCGGCTGGTTTACTAGATCCAGCCAGGCAGTCCTCCCGTTCCCTCCTTTCGGTGGGACGGGTGCGTCGAGCTCTGAGTGTCCCGTTAGGGGTCGTGCGAGTCTCGACCTCGATATCATTATCCGTATCCTGGTTAGTGTAGACCCGAGGGTCGTCCAAGGGATGCTTGTCACTTAGAATCGGTACTGACTGTGATTCCATCTCGAAAGTACTCTCCCCACAGACGGTGCCAAAATGTTTCGGGGTTTTTTGATGTCCTGCGGGAGAGTTACAATTACGGGACTGGGATCCTTGCACCTGTACCTACAAAACAACGAAAACTCCATTTGGTGGGAGCTCCGCCTCCGACGATCAAGTTAGAACGTATTTGAGGAGTAAAAAGTGCGGAAAGTAAAAGGGTGATCTAGTTTCTCTAGGGGAGGAGTGATTAGGAAGTGCAATTAATTGCTAAGTCAGGTCTAGCAATTAGAAAGCCCTGGTGTTTAGGTTTCTCTAGGTGAGAGTAATTATTTCTCAATAATCTTAAATGGAGGCTTAATTACTGTATTTATAGCCTCGAGATGTGTACCTAATTCTAGGGTTTTTGGTAAACCCTAAATCTGACTGGGCTTCTCTCGGGAAGTGGGCCTAGGTGGCCTCCTTCCAAGTTGGCAATCAATAGGCCACATGGCGGGGCATGTCTGGTCCATGGTGGACAAATGGTTGTGTGCCACGTGGCAGACCCCGATAGGTCCAAATGGAGGACACTTAGCAGGACCTGATTGGTCCACGTGGCATACACTGATTGGGCGGGAAAAACCCCCTAATCAGGAGTCTTGCCGGAGCACTCCAATATCTCACATTCACTCAGCCTGACATATCATATATCTCATATGTAGCAGGTTTTCCTTTTCATGCATGCTCCACGAGAACCGCACTTCAATGCCTTGAAACGCATCATCCGGTACATTAAAGGTTCTCTAGATCATGGTCTTCACCTATATCGCTCTGCACCGACCAAATTACTCTCCTTCATGGACGTCGACTGGGGTGGTTGTCCGGACACTCTCCGATCTACTTCTGGCCATTGTGTATTTTTTAGTGATAATCTCATTTCTTGGTATGCTAAACGGCAAGTTACATTGTCGCGTTCTAGTGCAGAGGCAGAATATCGAGGTGTCGTGAATGTAGTTGCCAAAACTTATTGGCTCCGAAATCTTCTTTTGGAGCTCCATTTCCCTCTACGGAGGGTGACCCTAGTATATTGTGATAATGTGTCTACCGTATACTTATCTAGCAATCCCGTTCAGCATCAGCATAGCAAACACATTGAGATGGACATCCATTTCGTTCGCGAAAAGGTTACTTTGGGTCATATTCGAGTCTTGCATATCCCCTCTTCATATCAGTATGCAGATATTTTTACTAAGGGTCTTCCTCGACAACTCTTTCTTGACTTCAGATCCATTCTGAGCGTCTTCCCTCTTCCCGCTACGACTGCGGGGGTGTGATAGAATAAGTATTATTCTAGGATATTCAGTAAAGATATTATTTTGTGTAAATATGTTAATATTGTAATTCTCATAGATTAGGGTTGCACACCTATATATATGCTTCTAATGAGAATACTCCACTCAAGGAGATTTACACAATTCTACATTGATCATCTCATGTTTTAGTTCTCATTCATGATCTAGATCAATCCATTCCCAGAAGTGGAAGCCATTAGATTGTTTATAATTCCTGCATGTGATTAATTTTCTAAAAGGATTTTTAGTTGTTTTGGAAATCCTTTTTACCACTACCTAGTTGCACCCCACATAATATAACTGTCTCATACATTTGTTGTGCAAATTTTTTTTTCTAGATTACTAGTTCAGATGAAAGAATTGGAGAAATGAGATGGTTGTGCTGAAGAATTTTTGTTGTAAAGAAGAATTATGTAACGACTAATTTTTTTGAATTGTTGAAATTGAATTCCTTTTGGCAGTTAAACTGTAATACCCTGGAAATTCCCTTATTTTAATATACTCTCTTACTCTAAATAAAACTCACTTTTAGAAAATATCCAAAGTATTACCCCCATCGTAATAACGACTAAGGCTATTTCAATTCAAAGTCACACAGCGGAAGACTAACTTTTAAAAGCTAAAATAAAATAAAGTTTAATAAAACAAACTCAAATTTAAAACCAACTTACATTAAACAAATAACTTGGAACCATTGAAGGCCCTTTTTTAAAAACCAAACTAAAATATTACAAATATGATTATATGTTAGGGACAACAATAAATGAAATAATATATTACGATAAGAAATAAACAAAGTAATGAAACATATAACCCTCTTCGCTCAATCCCATCATGCTTGATATGCTCCTTCTACTTGTACTTCTCTTTATTTCAACCTCACTATTCGCCATATAAAATGAGTCGTAGTAGGGCAAATACAAAGAAAAGCCAAACACAAACAATAAAGTATGAATCAGCAAAAGCTGAGTACATATGCACCAAAGGAATAATCACACTAACATGAATATCCTAGCAATAGACAATAAATAGGTAAATAAATAAATAAAACATGCTTGCTATACAACACAAGTCAACTTACCTTTAACTCATGACTCTACTTTAATTTATTAATATATAGCTTTGGATAACTCATCGAATGAGTTTCCTTCCTTTAAATAGCCAATTAAACATGGAGCTTCCAATTAGGGAGCTACCCCAATTGGCACCTACTATGTCACCTTCTGACGGAATTCCAGCGCATTAATAATAAAAGAAAGTACGGCGTCCTGTACCCCTGTATAAGCTATGGTTAAATATAAAAACTCATAACTCTCCCCATATGTTCATACTCAAGGTATATACGTTCCAAAAACTTTGGTGCGTATCCTCTTACACTTTACGTGATTCACCAATTCAACTTGTGATGACTCTAACCAATCAATCAAGAACAAACATTGCAACAATTAACACATATTTCCAATTCATTCTTGAATTAATTAGTGAGCACATACTATTTATTTTAATTAAGGTTCATTGCCTAATTTTGTGCACAAAATTGCACGATTGCTACCTTGGTGCATAAAATGCACTACTAACTTCCTTGACTCAATCTCAGCTTATGTGAGTGAGTAATAAACTAAGTTCTTGACTCGACCTCAACTTATGTGTGAGTAAATAAATAAACTAACTTTCTTGACTCAACTCCAATAATAAATGGGTGAGAATAAAATCATGATCATGCTTAGTAAATATAACTTTTATCTCTTTTTAAAAATATAAGCCTTGCTTAATAAATACATGACTTCTTGATGATGAATAATAAATATAAAACATGATTCAATTACTTTTAACTTGTATCAAGCTCATAATAATAATTCCTTTATACCACATGCTTACATATAAGACATGGATAACTAATCAATCAATTCAAGTATCACAACACAACTTAACATGATACTAATTTCATTCATGATACCAAATTTAACTTCTTGACATGGTACTAGGCATAATTAATATATCTTACGCGCATACGTACCTTAATTCGTCTTTCCAACTGGCCACAATGCTAGAAATTACTCAATTTAAAGTCTCCTACAATACTAAATACATAAGCTCAATTACTCCCCTGATTACACAAATTTCCAGCAACTTTTAAACACTTTAAAACCTCTTTAATAAACTGAAATTTTGGTTTAAAACCTTTTAAACTTTTTCTCTAAGTGGGTAATTAAAACCACAAAGTAAAAACTCAATTATGGTGTTTAAATAAAAATTTCAGCATACTTTTTAAGGTTTAAACCCCTCAAATAAACTGAAAATTCCATTAAAACCAATTAAAACCTTCTCTAATTATGAGTAATTAAACCCTTTTTATTAAAACACAAAAGTAATGCTTAAAATAAAATTTCAGCAATGTAATATTAACAAAAACTCATCAAAACTCCATAAAAATATAATCTTTAAACTTTATTATCACTTACAATCAATAGGTATATAAAACTCCCAAATCAATTGCAAGTTAGAAGCCTAAAAATCAACTTTTTTATAATTAAAACCCTAACTTTTAATATTTTATAAAAATCATAATTTAAAACCATACAAAATCTGAAATTTGTACTCTTTAGTTGTCAAAACACAATTATAGCATATACTAATATGCTATAAAACCCAAAACCCAATTATCCATCAAAAATCAAAACCCAAAACAAATAATTATATAAACAATAATTTAAAACAAGGAGGAGGAGAGACAAACCACCGTGGTGGCTGGGCGGGCCGGAGGTGGCCGGCAGCCTTGGGTGATGTGGCAGCATCAGCAGCAAAAGGGGAGGTCCCTTACTCCCATGCGTGAACTCACGCATGAAACCAAGGAGCAGCAAAGAAAGAAGGAAGAAAAAGGAGAAAAGAAAAGAAGAAAAGAAAAGAACAATAAGGGAAAAAAAAATTACTTGCCCACAAAAATTTGATTTTTGATCTCTTGTGTGGGAAATTTTTGGGGATTTGGGAGGTATTTATAGAGTAGAGAATAGGGATTAGGTTTGGGCTTAATATATAAGTGGGCTTGAGTTATGAAATATTTGACCCAAAAGGGTTCAAATATAAGAATTGAGCTTAAATGGGTAAGTTCACTAGGAGTATGTAAAGATTGTTTACATAGGATTATTTAAACAAGTCCATATAGTTAATAAACGTTTAGCCCAAAATGTATTTTACTTTTGTGAGAGTCAATAATTAATGTACTTTAGCCCTTTAAAATATTTAATTAAAATAATTGAGCCCTTAAAATTATATTTTATAATTAATAAAATAATTTATAAAATACATAAAAATACGGAGTATTACATAAACACCAAGGACCTAATTAAGTTTTTGATTGTATTTAATGCACCGTAGGACTTCACTTTTTTGTTGAAGAACTTAACCTTTTGGCTAATTCAGATGAGTTAAATAGCCTGAATTTTAACTCGAGGTCCTTAAAGGTAAAAAAAAAAAAGTTTGAGGTGGTGAAAAATACAAAATGTTAAGTCCCGTATTTAGGGGTGACAATTCCGGTTAGTAGGTCGGATTCGAGTTCGATTTCTAGTCGATTTCGGGTTGTGCTAAAACTATCAAAAATAGTGTAAAACTGAATATTATTACGAATATGAAATTTAGGTCAAATTGGGTCAAATTCGGGGTTGTTTGGGTTCGATCCGGATCAAGTTTGGGTTTCTGTCAATAACTTTAAGTCGGGTTCGGGTTGAATTATCGGGTCGGATCAAGGATCGCTAGCCCTACCCGTATTAATGCTTAACTCCACAATCCACAGTTGTTTAAAATCTAATCACTCGTAAGATTAAGACAAGAACCGAAGTAATTTCCTTAAAAAAAATGTATAAAAAAATAAAATAAAAACCGAGCTTCCTCGTTCTTCAGTAACGATCTTCGTTTCTGCCCCTTTCTCTCTCCTCTTTGCCCCCCATTTTCTCTCTCTCTTCCTCACTCTCACTTCAATATCTCCATCTTATCTCTCCAATTCATGTTTCTTCGTATTTGATGGATCTCCAATTTCATGCTTGAAGCTCGATTTTTGGGTTAGATTTTCGATTTTAGGGTTAGGGTTAGGGTTCATTTTTCCCTGAGTGTAATAACAATTTCTGTTCTTTATCGTTTTTTCATTTCGTTTTGTTAGATTGGAATTCGATCTAATTGTAATTTTTTATTTTAATATGCTTAAATTTTGATAATGATTCGCTATTGTACTTTGTAATGAAGAGGATTTGATTATACATAGTTTAGGGTTAGGGTTTTGATTTCAATTCGTGGTTTTATTGTCTTTGTATCATATATTGTAAATGGAGATGGAGAGTTCTCGAAGACCTCCGTTTGATAGATCGAATTTGATTTCAAAAAAGCCAAGATTAGCTGAAGATCCAACTCTCAGCGGCCGGCAATTTCAACAACCGTTGCAAAGATCGGCAATTGGTTCGGGGTCAGGTGCGACTCGATTTAGAGCGAATTCGGGTGATAGAGAATCCGATGATTCGGGTCGTGGGTCTTTACAGCAATTACAGCAGCATCAGGAGCTGGTTAATCAGTATAAGACAGCTTTAGCTGAGCTAACCTTTAATTCGAAGCCGATTATTACGAACTTGACGATTATCGCAGGGGAGAATTTGCAGGCTGCCAAAGCCATTGCGGCCACCATTTGTTCTAACATTCTTGAGGTGAATTTGAAATTCGGCTTAATATCAATGATTAAGTTGCTTTAGTTACTTTGTATTTGTAATAGTGTTAAATTGCAGCATTATTAGGTAGGTTAATTCAGTTGTACAGCGCGGGCAATCATGATGAGCCATACATTTTCTTTATCCATTCCTTGCCGATTTAATTTGATTGAATCATTGTAAAAGAAAAGATCAGATTAATGAATTGGAAGTGTTTCTGGATTATATAGGTGTCATTCAACCTTAGTAGGATGTTGTTACAAGTTGCTGTTTTTTAGATTTCTGAAAATTATGCATCTGTCGTACTTTTGACTACACAAAGATGGTTTCGAGGCTTCAAAGAGTGTTTTTTATGCGCGAATCTTGGATGTTAGAACAATGTTGGGATTGTGAGTGTGAAACTAGCTAACAAATAAATATATTCTGTTAATGTCATGGATTGAATCTATGATGAGACACCCTTGTCTATGTGCCCAATTAGTGATATTTATCCTGCAACTAACAGGCAACATCAAGTTTCTGTCTTTCAAGCTATGTAACAGGCTGAATGCAAAACTGAACTTTGTTATATCTTGTTTGTTCTTATAGCAAATTTGACTTTGTTGCCTACACCATGAAATGTGTTCAACATGAGTTCAAGACAGTTAAATTATTTGTCTATGTTAGGCAAGAGCCTGAAAGACAGCAACTCCAACTAAGTTATCTTGGGTGTACACTGTATAGATGCCCTTGTTTGACAAGATAACAAGGATTCTACTCTTACTGACGATGTTGATGATGCTATTGAGGATGATACATCTGTCTGATTTAAAAACTGCAATACTTTGTATAAGTTTACAAAATTACAAGACTTGTCATTTCTATCCCTGAATCCATAATTTTAATTTTAAGATTTACTGCAGTGGGTATTTGTATTTGATTTATGTTCAGTCATTTCTTTCATCTTTTCAGAACTGACAGTGCTTAATGAATGTCTGCATGAATTAAAATTCAGTTATTGTCATGCTGCTTCCCTTCAAAACTGTGGTATCTGCGTATTGAATTTCTGAATACCTTGAACTGTATAATAGGTCAGTTATTGTCATGCTGCTTCCCTTCAAAACTGTGGTATCTGCGTATTGAATTTCTGAATACCTTGAACTGTATTATAGGTCATCTTGGTTTTGTAGAATGTAATTATGATTACTCTTGATGATGCATTATGAGAGTAGCATAAATGATTTGGACATCAAGGTATATGAAGTTTGAGCTTGATATCAAGGATGTCTAGACAAGTTGGATGTATTTGGAAAGACCAGTGCTGTAGTTTTATTTTGTAAGGTGCTCTTATATATGTATATATGTGCAAGACATATTGGAATATTGTAGAGTTAGGAGGTAGTTGAACTGTAATGCGTTTTATGATGCGTTTTATCATTGGTAAAGAAGTTGCTTAGGAGTGGTAACACATGCGTTTTTGGATTCGTAAGACATGAACTGTCTCATTGAGTAATGGGGGTACAGGTACTTTGGGAATTTGTGAGCATTTTTTTTTTTTTTAAACTTGTGGACTGTTGTAAATTGGTACTCAAGTGCTTGCTCCCTTTCAAGATGACTTTTTTGTCTGCCCTTTAATTGTCATCTTTTTAAAATTTTCTTTAGGATTTTCATCTTCATGAGATTTGATTTTTTTAATGTAATGTTTGAATCTGCAGGTTCCTACAGAACAGAAGTTGCCCTCACTTTATCTACTGGACAGTATTGTGAAGAACATTGGTAGAGATTACATCAAGTATTTTGCAGTAAAGTTACCTGAGGTTAGAATATGAATAGATTTTCTGATGGTCATTGCTTCAAGCTTTATAAACCTTGTGCAGTAGAAGCCTCCCCCCCTCGCTGACTGACCCAAATTGTTGCAGAAATTCTGGGTGCGAGTAGTTGCATGTGTTGGTTGTGTCTTTTCTTTTTGCAACTGGTTAAAGGGCGTGACAACAGAAATTATGAATCTTTAGTGATTTGAGATGTAGTGATGTGCTGTATCTTTATCTGCTAGGCTGGTCTGGACTCTGGAATATTTTATATCTTTCTGCAAGTTTAGAGAACAAAAAAGCCCTGTTGTACACCCACCTGACTACCCCAAGCCTCATACTTGCCTTATGTATGCTAGGCAATGTGACAAGGCACTTGATTGTGTCGGCTGTTAGTTATGCTTTGGCTCGAGCAACAAGTTAATAGGAGTGATAAGGGAAAGGATTTGAGAGAATATTCATTCAGAAAATGCTTGTAATTTCCTTTCTACTTTTAAGGTTGTACTGGTGATGTAATTGCACCATTAGTACAATTCTTCCTCTGCTTCACCTATTTTTTTTTCCCTTAATTTCCTGTACTAAAACTCATAAATCACAACATTCAATAATATCCACTTGTCTCGCCCTCCTTCAATCTTATAAGACACTTGTTTTTGGAGTGATAACAATGTTGTGTGCTCTTACGAAAGTGTTTTTAAGAATTCTCCACCCCCCCCCCCTCCCCTTGGGCTATCAGCAGGCCAGCTGCCTTTCACATATTGTAGTAGTATCACCAGATAAATTGCCTTCCTCCTAAAGAAATTACTGAATGTCCCTTATATTATGGTTTTTTTTTTTTTCTTGCTATTTATATTTCTTCCCCTGGATTACCTAGGTGTTTTGCAAGGCATACAGGCATGTGGATCCTTCAATACATGCTGGTATGAGGCATCTTTTTGGGACTTGGAAAGGTGTTTTCCCTCCCCAGCCACTGCAGATTATTGAAAAAGAACTCGGATTCTCTACTGCTGTCAATGGTGCATCATCTGGAACTACCACATCCAAGTCCGATTCACAGTCTCAGCGTCAGCCACATAGTATTCATGTGAACCCAAAGTATTTGGAAGCGAGACAGCGTCTTCAACAGTCTAGTAAGGTAAGATCTGTGGCTGGTTCTTGATGACCTTTACATTCTTGTATTGTGGTATGTGCATTATTCTGAAGGAGAAATTATTTCTTGGTTTGAGTTGAATGTGGTATATAGGCTTAAATAACTGTGTGCAAATTGAATTTTGATGGTTCTTTCTGTCTGATGCTGCTTAGATCTCATTCTGTGAATTGGAGTGTATATTTTGTTCTAATTGCTGAAACTATTGCCAATAAGTACTTGCATGATCATCATTAAGCCTGATAAATATGACTCTGGAAGTTAAACGATATAATGGATGAGCTACAAAATGCTACTTTTGGTCTCAACTGCAGATTCTGTGTTAATAATGTACAAATTATGCCATTATTTCATACTTTGAATAGGATAATTATCTACCTTAAATTTAGGCTATATTGCTCATGCGGGCTTATACTTGTGCATGAAATTGCATATGTTATTGATGTCTATTAATTCCAGTGTTTTGAATATTTGGAAGAATTGATTTGGAGACTCTTCAAAATGGTGGAGACTGGAAAGTGTAGTGATTTTATAATAACTTGAATTTCCTAGCCATTTAAAATTGGATTATGTTTATCTTTAATTTATCATGGACTAAACCCAATTCCAATTCCAAAAGCAATTGCTAGTTGTATCTTTACTAGGAGTTGTGACATATTTGGATGTTACAATCAAGTCCATGATTCAGAAATACTCATTTGCTTTTGGTTTCTTTCTTCAACTTGTCATGTGGGATATTGACATCATTATTAAATTTAAGTTGCCTTCATGACAAAAGTAGGTAGCTCTGGGCATTAATCACAATCAAAAGGTTTAGGCTTGAATCATGGTCTTTGTAACACAGTATACAGAGGGAAAAACTGCATGGTTGATCATCTTTAATGAGTATTAGTTGCATATCTTAGTCTCCTGTGTCATTTGTATGGCTGTCGTTCAAGCTCTTGATCTGATAAAGAGATGCTACCGCTTAAATTGCTGGCAACTTTAGAAACCTTTTTGTTTTATTGAAAAATTATAATTATAATTTGGTTATGATTTTAGAAGTATAAAAATCTGGGTGCTGACTTCTTATCTACTTTTCAACTTGTGTAGATGAAAGGAACAGATATTGGTCTCACAGAGGTTGGATCTTCTGAGGATGCAGAGAGACCAGAGAAAACTGCTGCTGCAGGAACTGAAAGGCCGTGGATGGATCCTGTAATGAAAATGCATGTATGGTTACTGCTTATTGTCTCATTTCTATTAGACATCCAACTGTAATTACTATTCTCAATTTTAAATGTTTACCTAATAATTTTTCTTCTCTTTTGAATTGTTTCATTCTATTTAGAATGTGCGTCCTCAAAGAGAATCGTTGAGAGAATCCGGTCTTCCAAAGCAGGGAGGTGCAGTGTATGGAGATTATGATATTGCATCTGGTCTTTCAAGACCTTTGAGCACATCAGGTGGTAAACCTAGTGATAGGATTGTCGGACAGAGATGGACTGGTGCTGGCAGAGAGGGGGAAGAATCTATTTCTGGTGAAAGGAATGGGTATGATATTAAGCATGGGATTCCAAAGTATGCAGCTGGCAGACCAGCAAGTAGTGGTATACCTTCAGTGCTGAAACAGCCAAGAATAGCTGCTGAGATGTCTGGGAGCTGGAAAAACTCTGAAGAAGAGGAGTTCATGTGGGATGATTTGGGCACCAAGGTGGATCCTGGTGCTGCAAGCATCACAAAGAAAGAAATTTGGTCTGACGATCCGGAGAAAGTGGTAAGATGCACAAAAAATTATAATCGCAGCATCTGCGATATCATTTTTCCTTGCAGAAAGAGATTTATGTTTGACTATGAAAATTGACTAGAGGCCAGATTAAACGCGTGGATGTTAAGATTCTGTAATGTTTCTTTGATGAGTAAACATTTTTCTTGTTAATGTAGTATTTCAGGTTATTTTATGCTTTTTGATGTGTCAAGGCTGCATGTGGGTGATGAATACTGTTGCTGGATGCAATGATCCTATGTTCCCCCTAAGCAGTGGGTCTGCTAAAAGACCTCAAGTTTTTCCATAAAAACGAAACCTTCTGAGTTCTATATTTTATTTTGTCTGTAAAGTCCTATATCATAGTTTGACCCTGTGATTTCGTATATCTATTTTTGCAAATTTGTGTTGTATCTTTCCATTCCAAAAAGCATGCCCATTTGATAATTTAGCTGTATTTTTTAGTTGTTTCTTGTGTTACATGTTATATCTTATTTTGTAAGACTGTATGCATTGATTTGGTTGACTAAATGTGGATCACAATCTACAGGAATTGAATAGGCACATTCCTAAATGGAAGAGCCCGGTTGAAGTCAGATCCAACATTGAGAGAGAACTTTCTTCTGATAGTCTTTCCTCTGAACAGAAAGATCAAGTGCCTCTTGGACATCCAAGGTCTTCCCACTGGAAGATGCAGGAACCTCACCAGGCTGATAGTTCAAGTCCTTTGTTACAGCAAATGAGCTCTCACTCCGTGAATGGTCCTAACTCTTCTGGAGTCTCTAGTTTGGGTTTCTCTTCAGCTTCTGCAGGATCTATGGGGCGTCAACCATCTCCAGGCCAATCTGTGATAAGCCAGCGTCCACCTTCTCCTTCATTATCTAAAAGGGATCCCCGTCAAAGTCTCATTGAGAAAGATCATATGAGATCTTCCTTAGTTCGATCTGATCCTAGAGTAGCTTCTATCTCAGGGAAGTTAAATGCAGGGGTTCGTGATAAAACTTTTCAGGGCTCTATGCTTAATCGGCAAAAGTTGCAAGCTACTCTGCAGAAACCACCTTCTCCTACAACTTCTTTTCAACAAAGGCATGTCCCATCTTCTGAGCAGCAGCCCAATTCAAAGTCTGAGCTTTCTGATATTGTCCAGAAAGCTCAGCAGCTGCTTAGTTCCTCAGCGAAGAAAGGTACCTTGTCAGATAGTTTGAATCCTATTGCTGGTAATATGCAAGGTCAGTCGAACGTGAGTAGTTTATTGGCTGCCGTTATGAAAAGTGGTTTACTTTCTGGTAGTCCTATTTCTGGACAGATGGGGGTTCAACCTCCTTCAACTACTGCTCTCACCTCACAATCAGCTTTCATTACTACAAAGGATGATACATTTTCAAGTCCTCATGATTCAACCGCTATTGTCTCCCGAAGTAAAGTAGAAATGCCTTCGCTGGTGGCTCCTGTTCCTTCATCTCCTATGAGCAGTTCATTGGCACAAACATCGAATGCAGCAGCTGTCAAGTCAAACCCACTTTCAATCTTGAGCACATTGATATCAAAGGGGTTGATATCTGCGCCAAAAACCGATGCAGCTGCTGCCGCAGTTTCCGTGAAATCTGATTCCCAGATTCAAGCACAAAGCCCGATTATTGCTTCTGTAACTACTGTTACAACTCCATCTGTTTCCAAAGTTTCTGCTACTCTACCTAAACCATCTAATGAAAAGGCTCCTTTCCTGCCCGATGAAAAGGCATCTGATGCAATTCAAAACAATAAAGAAGAAAAAGATCTTATAGGATTTGAATTTAAACCTCGTGTGCTCCGGGATTTGCATCCTGCTGTAATTGACAGACTTTGTGATGACCTTCCACACAAGTGCACTGCATGTGGTCTTCAATTTAAACTGCAAGAAAGGTTTGCTAGACATTCAGAGTGGCACGCTTTTAAAAATTCGATACCAAATTCCGTGAATAAGCCATCCAGGAGATGGTATTCAAAGCCTGCGGACTGGATTGCCGGGAAGGCTGGATTTCCATTTGGTTATAATTCCACTTGTCTCATGGAGGGGTCCAGCAGGATGAGAGAAGAGACAGAGAAAATGGTTCCTGCAGATGAAAGTCAATGTGTGTGTCTTTTATGTGGTGAACTGTTTGAAGATTACTACAGTCAAGAGAGGGATGAATGGATGTTCAAGGGAGCAGTTTACTTGTCTACCCAATCTAGAAGCTCTGAGGAAGGAGGATCTTGCAGTGAGAGCGATTTGCAAAATTTGATTGTTCACGCCAACTGTATGTCAGGTGATTTAGGTCGTGACTTGGGATCTATCAGGGGTATTAAAGTGGTAATTCTCGATCTTAAAATTTAATTTGGCTGACTTTTACTTGTTTAAATTTGACATCTAATTTATAGTCTATTAAGATTAGCTCTTAGCATTCTTCCTTGAAAAGGCTTGCTTATCCTTTATTTGTATTTGGTTGATCTTGGATCATTTGTATTTTGTTGTCTTGCGTTGATCTTGCTTCTCAGCTACTCCCTTTGCCTCCTTTTTGTTGGTCTCATATTTCTCTTTGGGGGTGTCCCTTTGAGATTGCTCCATTGCCTTTTTTTGGAAAGTTGGGGATGGAGGATTGGAGGGAGTATATTGTTTGGATAGTCCATTGGCATAATTGTGCTGAGCATATTTAGTTTAGCGGCAAGCATATATTTGTTTGTTTTCAAGAGTCTGAGTTATTCGTAAACATATCATCCAACGAGGGAGCCTTCCCTGCAAGGGGGGAAAACTAAAAAAAATTATAAGGCTGTACCTTAATTGTACATTTGTACTACTTCGTATTAAAATCACTTTTGATCTAATTGGATTATACATAATCTGCAGGAAAAGGGTACGTAGTTAGCTGAGGCATTCATCCATTCAGTAACCACAGTATGTCCCTCTCAGCTGAGGAAGAGGGTGGCCGTAATTTTTTCAGGAAGCTGGTGCCAAAGGTACAGGTAAAGCTTTGCACAATGCATCTTCTTTCTCCATTATTGCAGCTGAATCAATGTGATGGGCTATTGGGCTGTGAGAGCTTCTACTGGATAAATTTGATTTTGGTTTTGATAGTCATTATAGTTCCATGAAAGTAAATATGGAACAGATGGGGGGACGTATCTCGTCCATTTGGATCAAACTTCTCACCTTGGATATTTTGGCATGGTTGAAGTGATATTGCTACCTTTCGCACTCAGTGCCCACTGTCCATTATGTCCAGTACTAGCAAAATTATTAGAAGGCAGCCCATTTCAACCTCACCGGAGTTTATATCTGATAGACTGATATATTGTCTTGGTCTTACATGAGCTAAATTTGCCCGCAAACGTTTCCAGCTTAACCCCTTTACATTCTTAGTTTTATTTTTTCTTTGTGGCTTAATTTGAAATTTTGGTTTTTTTAGTAACAGGAAGAGGTTTTTTTTTTTTTTTTTTTTTTTTTTTTGAGGGGCGAGTGATTGGGGGGGGGGGGGGGGTGTGGTTTGGCGTTACATGGAAGCATAAAATGTGTGCTTTATCAGCTGAGGAGATTCTCTAAAATAATGTGTATTTTTTTTTTATTTATTGATTTTTTTTTTTTTTTTTTTTTTATTTTTTGTAAAGCATGTACTCCGTAGTCATTTTTGCAGAACTATGTAACGTTCACAAGAATCGCCCACTCCCCTCCAATAAGGGGGAGGGGGGGGAAGAGAAAAAAGCGAAGAAGAAAAAGGCAGAGGGTTAGCTAAAATCTTTTAATTGATGCATGTTTTTTTTGAAGAAAATAATTGATGCATGTTAGTATTGAATGTTTGTTAGGTTTATTTTATTGCTTTAGTTTTGAACACTAATTCTTGTGTTTTATCAGTGGTGTGCCTGCTAATAGAGCGGGCTTAAAAATGCACTTTATTAACAACCCCCTCCTTACCCAAATCAGTCTCTTTTATTAATCTTGTTATAACTGTATAAGTTTTATTTATGCAGTCTTATAAATTGATTTGTAACCAATTAAGTTTTGCTATTTTATTTATTTATTTTTTTTCATTTTTAATCAACTATATTCACGTGTTCATTTTATGTTTACCTTTAAACAATTGAACTCTACTATTATATTATTTACCATCGTAAAAATGTGTGCAAAAGATAAATGAAATTTTTATTTGGAAATGGAGCTTATAACGTGCTACCTCTACAAAGGGGTCATTTGTCATATGGGCACCGAGAATCCAAGATAACCCATACAGCATAATTAATTTGTCTATAGCTGCCATAGAAACTTCTAGCTTGCCAAGAATTGACAAGCCTATGTACGAGATTAACTTGTATTTACTTATTTATTTTATTTTTTTATTGAGGGTGAAAGCCATGAAGGAAAAATTGCCACTAAATTTCCCTCAAAAACGAAAAATAAAATTGCCACTAAATAGCGTCTATTACATCTTCAAATCCTCAAACTAAATGCAAGACAATTAGCTGAAGTTGAGGATGCTAAACAAATTATCAATAGAGCTACCAGAAGAAACCAAGGGGGAAAAAGCCATGAATTTAATTTCACAAATTAAGAAATGTGCCTATCTCCAATAACGCTCCACTACACCGCAGGATCACAATAATAAGAGGCTTTTTTCTACGGAATCCTGTGGTCAATTACAATATCCTCCCAAAATAGAACTTGCTCATTTAAAGGTATTGCATTGATATCTCAGCTAAACAGAAGGGATTTTCAAATAGATGATGTGGGGATATGATCTTTGTGCCAATGGTGAATTGAGCATTTTTGAGTGTTTGACATAATTTTCGACGACGTCCTTTAACACAACTAGATTGGAGGGGTGGTCTTCTAGACCGAGATAGGGATATTCCTTTCAAGATATGGCTTTGCAACTATATGCATCTTTTCATACTCTTAGGTTAGCTTAATTTATTACTTATGAGATTGCATTATCAGTTCTACACGCAGAAGTTCAAGCTTGAATTTCGTACTCTGTTGTATCCTCTTCCCAAGTCCGTTTACCTTCCCATTACAACTTTGTGACTTAGTATCCTCAAAGAACAACATTGCTTTGAAAAATTCATATCAGAAGATGACCTGGCCTTCAAACATAAATTTCAGGGTTCATTATGCGCTCGCAGTCTCTTTTCTTAAGGAGAGACAGAGGTTACCCCATAAATTCATATCAGATGCATGTCTTGTTATGCCAATAGGCATTGTTATTTGTTAGCTCCATTATCCTACACTCGGCCTTTTCTTTAATTGCATTAGACCCTTTAGGTGTTTGTACCTTTTTATCCCGGTCCTTCCAATCGAAGGCAAGTGGTATTAGTTTCAAACGATGACCAAGATCAAATGAAGTGGTCGAAGACTTGTCCTGTTCATTGTAATGTAAGAGCTAGTAATATTTACTTTAGTTTCAAACAACCAAGATCATATGAAAATTATTTTTCTATGAACAATTGTCAAAAAATAAAAAAGTCAAGATTGCAAATTGTAATTTTATTTATGATATAGTAATATTATGATTTATGAACCATGTCATATGAATATATGATATGATCGATGCCTCTCCACATATTGGTATTTGATACTTCCTGCCATACATATTGCATGAACTATGTATAATATACTGGTAATACTGCCTCCTAACACTTTCTAGTTTGCATGAAGTGACAATCATTCAGTAACTATATCATGTCTACTACAACATATATCCTCCTTAGTAATTAGTATCACATTTTTAAGGGGTGTTAAATTTTTGGGTGTAAATGTAATCCAAATGAGCCTCCTCAAGCAGTTTCCTTTCAGCATTGCAATCTTCTCCTTTATTCCTGCATACTTCAATCTCATCTAACCCCATCTGCTGCACCACAATTTAAAATTAGCGACTGTCAAAGTGTCAATATATAGCTAATCACATAGAAATGTAGAATATCTTTTGTGATTACTTTTTCATGACTGTCAGTTTTTTTGACAGCCGTGAAAAATTATTAATATTGACAATTGCAAAAGTAACTGAAAATAATTAAGGGTTTTAAAATTCATTTTCATCATACCAACTAATGAACTTAATTAATTAAAAAGAAAGAAGGAATGAGGGATAGGGCTCACATAGGATACATCCTCAATGTTTGTAGCATTATCCTTAATCTCCAATTCTTGTTTACCTGTATGATCATTACATGTAAATATCAAAATTAAAAGTTCGAATTAAAAATATATATAAAAAAAATTAAATAAATAAACTCGCCACCAGGAATAACGTGTTAGTTTTGTCACTACGTTACACACGTGTGTACGGACATAATACTAGTGTAGTTTTTTTTTTTTTTTTTTTTTTGTTTTTTTACGGAATACTAGTGTAGTTTAAATAGGTAGAGTGACTATTAATCTATTATATCTAGGACGGAAAGAAAACATCTTAATAAACGAAACGAACCGGAATAATAATAGGGGAGAAAACTCAATTGGGGAATTAATAAAGGAAATTAAAATACCTTGTTCAAGTTTAGGTAGTAGGACACGAGCAGATGTTATGTAGGATAGAGCAAGAAAAACAACCAAAGTGAAGACAACAAAACGTTGGGAAAAGTTCTTCATGTTTAGAGAGGAGAAATTTGAAAGAGAAAAGTTGTTTGAGTTGAGATTGAAATTGAGTTTGAGAAATTTGTGTCGTTGAGGAAGTTGTATAAATAGTGCTCTTATGAATTGACAGATGGTTGGTTCGGTTGTCACACTTGGGTCATCCAAACGATGAAAGTTGCAACGTCTATTTTTATTACTCCGTATTTCTGTTACATTTTTTTTTCCATTCGGTTCACCCTTTGGGCTAATTCCGATTTGGGGTTCAATTCTGAGTGGTTAGGTTTCACTCCCCTCCCAATTGTTGTTGTGGGGGGATCGAATACGCGGTCATCTCTACCAATTGTAGCCCCAATTACCATTACACGAACAGTCAATTGATACATATTGGTAGTGGTACTACATTTAAAATTAACAAGAAAAGTCTCAACTATTACTAGTCTTCTTTACAAGGGCCAACATTTTGATTAACTTTGGACGGACGCAACTATTTTGTGTAGTTCACACGCGTTGATCCAACCTGTATCCGACTTGCTATTGTAGGTAAAATATGTCACGTGTATATCAAGTGACCTTGAATTTACAAAAATAAAAAATTTCCCCTTTCTTTTTGATTTCAATAAAACCTCCCTTCAATATTGCAATTTTTTCTACTTCTCTTCAAATTGTTGCAACTTCATAAATCTTAAAATTATTGCATAAATCAATCCAATATGCATAGTGGCAAGCAACAATCGTCGGATTAAACTACAAGTTAAATAATGTAATAGGAATTTACGTAGTTATTAATTATTGCCAATTTATGAAATACATGAGCAAAATCTGCATTATAATGGATTAAATATTGCCACAACCACCCCACGTCCCCTACCAATTAATAAACCACCACCATCAAAGCAACCCCACCCACAAAACCACCAACCCAGACCGATTAACCCATCCATCTCCATAGTAAGTTTAAAAATACTCACCCACTCAACCACCACAAAATTGTCACCAAGAACCTACCCATCGATAACATCGCAATAATACACCCCCATCGATAACCTTTTCGAAGCCACCAAGGCACCAACTCACCCCTACAACAATCCACCAGCCCATGTTAGTGACGCCACCATAAAGCCCCCAACACAATAACCTTATCAACCTTGGCCTAGAGAAATTGATGGCCATATATGATATATAGAAGAGGAGGTTAAGCAAAGAGAGAAAAGATGAGTAGCCATCAATTGGCCATGGTTGTGGGATAGTGGAAACGTTGGTTGCCAGTTTGAGGTGGCTTGAGTGTTGTGGATGGGAAGTAATGGAGAGAGAGAAAGAATGGGAGTTAGAAGAAAATTGGTGGTGGTGGAATTTCAAGTGGTTGACTGGTGGTTATGTTGTGGAGACTAGGAGGACAGAGTTGTGGTGGTTATGGCGTAATAGGGCAAAAATTGATAATATTTTTTTAATTAAAAAGTTTACCGGTTCAACGGGTAACAAGTCACACTTGACTATTTTAAGAAACTTAAGTATAGTTGGGTCTGTCCAAAGTTAATTAATAGGTTGACCCTTTTAAAGAAGATCAGTAATAGTTAGGACCTTTGTTGTTAATTTTTCCTAATAGTTTCAGCAATACTTGTACTATCTCTAGTTCACATTAGATATAAAAGCTAATTGTGTTAGCTGATTTTGACTAGCTTATTGTATTAACTGATTTGACTAACTTTATATATTAACTGATTGTATAAAAGTGTTTGGTAAATAGCCGATTTCCTAAAGCTGAATAAGTATGCAAAATGACCAATAAGGACATTAACATAATTAATTTAAAAGGATTGATTATTGCACAAAAATAGATATATTGTTTGACGAAATTACATGCTACATATGTATAATTGGGCATAATGTGACAAAAAAAAAACAAAAAAAAAAAAAAACAAATGAAAAATAATGAAAGAAAACTAAAAAACACAAATCAAAACAAAGAAAATTAAGGCAAAGATAATTGAGAAAACTAACCTTGGGAGTGGCAGTGGCTTAGGAGTGAATGAAAGAAAGTGAAATTAAATTGTGCTAGTTAGTTTTAAACTAGATGAAACCCGTATGACGTATGGTTTGTTTTTATTTTTTAAAAGTAATATTTTTTGTATTTATTTGATAAAGTTTGTTATTTTATTCGTTGTACGTAGTAATTATTAAATATTTTTTTTTTAAATAAATTGTGAATTTCCTCTCATACGTTATATATCAAGATAATATTTTTAATCTCAAAAGATAATATTTTATATTTAATTAATTTAAACTTTAAAATCTCATTCGTCAATTTTGCTTACATGGCATTTGAATTATTTAATTCTAAAAGAAATTACAACTCTCTTATTTGATTGGCTATAACTAAAGTTTATAATCCTACATGGCGCGTTAAGAAAATTTCATCCTACGTGGCTCTTTAAAAACTCGGGAAAAAACTTCCCTTTATATATACTAGTTTTGTGTCCGGGGATGCCCATCTTGTTGATAAAATTTTAGAATAAACTTTTTGGCTTGAATGTTAAATACGGTACGGTCATATAATCCCTTTTGAAAATTAAAAATATTTAGGCATATGATATCATATCGCTTATTATATAATAGTTTACTTTTTGTAGATTTGTTTGTAAATAGATATCTACTCATGTTATTATAAACTTGATATTATTTTTATGATCTTATATTATTTTTTACTAAACTAAAAATATTTCTACCTGATTAAAACTTATTTTTATTGATTTTATATTACTATGTATTTATATATATATATAATAAATGGATCTTATTTAAAAAAAAATTAAAATGAATTTTGAGATGGAAATAGAATCAAGTTATATGATATTTATTAAAAATTATGATTAATTTTGTACATATATGAAATATTAGATCTTTAGAAATATATCGATAATAAAACTCTATACAATATTTTTATCTTGAAAAAATATATCCAAAATTCGCTTACTTATCATCATATATGTCACAATAATATCTATTTGTCGCTTACGCAGCTCGATACTTGGCGAAAAACTGAAATGCCAAGTGACGCTGTCTCGTAACCTGGCGCCTAGGCGAGGCCCAGATGGTTGATAAAATTTTAAGATAATATTTTTACTTGAATGTTAAATATGGTCAAATAATTCGTTCTGATAATGTAGAATATTTAGACATACGATATTATATTGCTTATATTTATATAATAGTGTACTTTTTTTAGTTTTGTTTTTAAATAGATATCTATGTTATTATTGACTTGAAATTATTTGTATTTAACTTAAATTATTTTCACTGAATTGAAAGATTTTTTACCAAACTAAAATTATTTTACTGATTCAAACTTATTTTTACTGATTCTCTAATATATATTTTTTAAGTAAATTAAATAACAATGCATTTTGTATGCGGCTAGCCACACCATCAAAGTAACTCCTTTAAAAATGATCGAGTAACCCTGTAATACTAACTAAATAACCTCTAACACTGATTATGTAACCTCTATCTATAACATTGATTGAGTAACCACTATAACACTGACCAAGTAACCTCTATAGCACTAACGAACGAAGTAACTCTTGTAATTCCCGTCAAAAAAAAAAAGTAACTCTTGTGATAGTTGGTGACGCGATTTGGCTAGCTACATATAAAAGTTTGTGATTAAATATACTATTATAAATGGATCTTATTTTAAAGAAATTTTTAAAACGAACTTGATGATGGAAATAGTACCGAGTTATAGGATATTTATTAAAAGTTATGATTAATTATATATATATGAAATATTAGAATTTTATCGATAAGAAAACTCTATACAACAATTTTATCTTAAAAATCTATCCAAAATTCTTCATATGTGTCACAACAATACCTATTTATCTCCTACGTGGCGCGACACTTGGCGAAAAACTGGAATGTCAAGTGTCGTTGTCTCGCGGCCTGGCTACAAGACCAACTTTATTCATTAGTGATATGATATGATATGATATATTAGATTTGTGATAGAGTTTGGTAATTAATAACGACGAATTTCTAATTTAGCTCATCCTACCAAATCATCTCTTTGCAAAACACTGCTCATACCAACTTTTTCTAAAAGAGCTTATTTAGGCAAATTATCTCTTTCAATAAGCTTACCACCAAACACTAAAGTTAGCTTATTTGACTAGTCAATCAGTCGAAGCTGGTCAAATAAGCTAATTTACCCCCAATAAGCTGTTTACCAAACACCCCCATAATGTGTTGACTTTGTACAGTATTTATCTATTAATTTTTACTACACTTTTTACATATTTCGTATATGTATAAAAATTAGCTAATGTGTGGTACTAGGTTGCTACTTTAATTAAAGCTTGTGATTATATGTATTTGATATTTAATGGTGTATTTTTTTTAATTAGTCCTCGCGATTTGCATATTATATACATTTATTTTCATATTTATAACATGATTGATTATTGGCTTAAATGGTTAAATAACCATCTTTATTATAAGAGGTTTGGTATTCGAATCTCTTAATGTTTAGATATTTATTTTTTCAAAAAAAAAATAATAATAATTATATGTAAAATATTTTTAGATTGGCTCAATGTATATTCAATAAATTTTTGGAGCGTGAAAAACACTTTATTTCTTTGTTATTACAATAAATAAAAACTTTGACCCATAGTAATTACTCCATTGCATTAGTAAAAAAAAAGTGTCCACAAAAATTTCACTAATTTGTAAGAAATATATTCATGGTGCTGTCAACTGCATTATTTCAAAGTTTATTTTATTTTACGTATATGAAATTCGAAAAATTTATACTCCATATTTTAATACATAAATTAAATATCCTTAAAATCAATAAAACAATTTGTAACAGAAATGTACTGAATAGGATTACTCCTCTAGAAGTTATGGTGGCTAATGCGGACCATGCAAACCTTGTTTTAATTTGAACAGAAAAGTGAGACGCATGCCATAATTCATATTATTGGTATTTTTGAGGTGTCAATTCAGGTGATTGGATTGATTGTAATGAGGTCGAGTCAAGTTAGGTCTATTTTTAAGTCATATTAAATTATTGTGTTTATATAAGCCGAACCTAAATTAAGTTTTGTTCGAATCAGTGTAAAATCGAATTAAACAAATCAACTTTTAACATCTCTAGTTTTAATTAGGGATGCGCAAATCGGGTAACCGGTCAAAATTTTAGGAATCGGACTCAGAATTGGTTGGGACCATGTCTTAGAATTCGGAATTGGAATTGAAACCACTTCAACCGGATCCTAAAACTAAGAATTGGAATTAGAACCGCCGAGTACCGATTTCGATTTCGGGTACCCACTTATGTACATAATTTTTAAAATTTAATAAAAATTATAATACTTATTTTAATCCATTTTCATTTTTAAACGTTTAATACCTATATTTATAAAAGCATGAAGCTATTTTATTTATGTTGGGTATTAATAATATATTTATTTTTATTTTAGTAACTAGATACATTCAACATATTTTTTGTTTTATAAATATATTTAGTTTAATATATATTAGGTAACTGGATACCCAATCGATTTCGGGTTCAAAAAATTGAGAATTGAAATTAAAGCCGATTCCTAACTGATTCCGATTCCAATTTCGATTACCCCAAATTTTTAGTCAACCCTACTTTTAAAGGTATTGTTAGAGAAAATTGGATTCTGGAAGGTGATGGGGACAAAAAGTTGATAAAAGTACTTAAAAGAGGGGGGCAGCAGAATTAGAGTCAAATACGGGTCCAAGCAGTCAACCGTACAACAATTTTATAGATCAACTCTGCTGACATTGATACGCCTTACCACATTCTACACGTGCTTCTTCTTCTGACCCCTCTTCAACTAGTATTTCCATGTTATTTTCTTCGTTTATACGGAATATGTTGATTATTATTGATTAAGCATACGTATCAATGCATAACTTACCATACACTGTATTTCGATGTACCAATATAATAATAATAATAATAATAAAAATAAATAAAAAAAAAAGAGAAATTGTCAACAATAAGCCAATAATACGTCATTTTACCGGTCTTTTAAAAATAAAACGACATTTTGATTAATTCGCAAATCGGACACGTGTTGCGTTGTGATTGGTTATTTTTGTAAAAGAAATTTAACTTCAAATTTTATAAATGATTTTAATTTTTACAAAAAAATTTACTCCCTTCGTTATTTTAAATGCATATTTTCATAATATAACTTTATTACATTTTTTTCTTAATCACCAGTGCCACCTAGACCTCCCTCCCCTCCACCAATGTAACCCCTCCCCTCATTCGACAAACCCCTTATAACTTCTTTCTGAACGCCGGCAACACCCAACCACCTCTCCTCCCACCCCGAAGCCCTAGTCGCTAGGGTTGTGGAGGTGGGAGGAGAGGTGGCTTGGTGTTTTCAGCAGTAGAAGAGAAGTTAAAAGGGGTTTTTTCGAATGAGGGGAGGGGTTATGGAGAAGGTTATGGTGGTTAGGGGAGGGGGGATCTGGAGGGCATCAACGCCGGGGGAGGGGAGGGGGTTATGGTGCCGGCCAACGCCGGGGGCAGGAGGTCAAGTTGGGTGTGGGTGGCAGGAGGGTAGTTGTCGTTTTTTTAAAAAAAAATTTAAAGTTTTTTTTGGACCAATCACGTGTTGACACGTGTCTTGGTAACTTATAATAACAGATTAACAGGTTGTTGACCACTTGGGACTGTTAGAGGCAAAGTGATAGCAAAAGTGAGATTATTAGATAATAATCTAAAGTTGGGATTATTATTAAAAGTAAATCGCTCAAAGATGGAATTATTAAAGTGAATTTTTCCTTAAAAGTTTTAGTGGTTGAAATTATGCATCAACAAGTATAAAAGTTAAAGTATTAATTAAAATAGAACGGAAGAAGTATATATCAAGATTATTCCAACAAAATTTTACCTCGGTAGTTTTTTTATACATCCATATTCTATCCAACAATAGATTTAAAAAAGGTATTCCATGGCGGAAAGGGAAACTGCACGCCACACCATCATCATTTTAGTGGGTGGTTTATGCGTTTGTGGCCTCTTTAAAAAGTGAAAGTTTAGTATAGTAAACAAACTTCCCACTCAAGAAAATGCATTATAATTTTTATAACTAGTTCTAGCTAATAAAAATCACCTCCTAAGCATAAAATGCTTAAATTATAGAGTGAAGTATTTAAAGAGACTTAAGATTCCCACTTTTGGCTGCCAAAAATTAATTCAAAATCTAGTAGACGTGATTTGCTAGTTATCTTACCATTAAGTTAAATTATTAACTTGACCTTATCATAATTAACTTTTTAAATTTGGTTGCTTGTATGCTATTTGTTAATTAGCTTGCCACTAAGTATAGCTTTTACTCTTTTAGCTATGACACAGCTTAAAAGTGAATTTTGTCACTTGTATATAGTGAAATAAAGCAAATTTGGTTCCACCAAGGATTTCACTTGTTAGTTGTACACTACGTAAACGTTGTGTAAACTGTATACCATTAATTATAGATAGAATAATGACCTTAAACCGTAATGATTGTTATATTTATCTTATTAAAAGATTGTTTAATGTTTCTCTTCCTGTTTTGTCAAATGGTGACGTTGTTTTGGTCTTGAACTGAGTTCTTTTTATGAGCAACACTAGTTAGTATGACTTTTTTTTAGGGGTAAGGGGTGGGCCTCACCTTGATTCCTATCACAGGAATATCGAGGTGGTATTACCCACTGGGGGATATGAGCATTGAACCTGGATCTCAGTCACGGGAACTGAAGTCTAGCTTTACTGAGCTATATGGGCTTCTTGCTCACTAGTTAGTACTCCCTTCATCCCTTTATTTTTGCCCCATTGTCATTTTTTGAATCAAATTTTGAAAAATTTGATCATAAATTACCATTAATCTATAAAAGATAATATAATCATGAGTGGTCTTGTTAGATTCGTCTCATTGTATATTTTATTTATATCACGTTTTTATAATTTTTACGTGTATAGAAATAAAGATATAGACGTTTTAAGACGCGTCTTGAAAACCGTACATAGTCAAACGGGGCAAAAAAATAGGGATAGAGGGAGTATGACTTAGAAAACACTATTGATACTCTATCTTTGTAAAGTCTTATATATTCGTATTCCATTCCTTCAATTAAATTGGCAAAGAGTGTTTTAGTAAAATATAATTTCAAATGAGTCCAGTTAACCTAATTCAACTTGCTAAAATGCTAAGCACATTAGTAGAATCATTGGTGAGATTTGATTGCTCAAATTTGAGGTAGAATGGTAGACTTCTTTGGACTAGAGGGAAAGGATAATAAATCGATAAGGGCAATCCCACTCCCAATATTGCATTCTTATTGGATCCGAAGTTTCATCATTTTTATTTTAGCTTTTATATTATCCATAACAACGGCATAGGTAATTAAAAGTTTCCTCTCGAAATTTTCATATCAATTTGGAAAAATTGTCCAAAAGAATACAACATTTGAGCGATCCGTTAAAAACATGTCAACCTTTGGATTATTTCTAAATAATACAACATTTCAGAGGTTTTCACTAATAACAGGTCGATAACTTAGTTAACAAGTTATACGGGACACGTGTCAAAATTTTATTGGTCTAAAAATTTAATTTGATTTTAAAAAATTTATTTAATGTTTTTAATTTTTAAAAGATATAAAATAATATTAATTATTATTATTTTATATAAAAAAAAAAAAACCACGCACCTCCTCCCTCACCAGCCACCCCCTTCCCTGGTAGCCCCAGCCCTCCGACGCTCCTCTCCTTTAGCAACCCCCTTCTGCCACCTAGTTTCCCTCCTTCTAGGCCGGCGATCCCAGCTCCGGCATCCCCTCCTCGACTCTCACCCACCTCGAAAATCCTAGAATCCCCCCTTCTCCACCCACGAAACCCCCAATCGCACCTCCCCTACCCTCAAAACCCTAGCGGAGGGGGGAGTTGTGGGTTTCGTGAAGTTTCGACAATGGTGGTTTTGGGGAGGGAGGGGGTTTCAGTGGGGGTGGGGGGCGACGACAGGGTGGGAAAGGGAGGTGAATCTTGTCAAATTTAATAACATGGCAAGTCAAATATCCTACGGAAAATTTGCATGAAGTATTATTTAATGACTCATATGAGGGAGGGGTTGGCGTCCACCTAAAAGACTAAGTTGTCATTAAAACCATCTGCCTAATAATCTAACGTCCAGGCATATATGGATTCAATTAAGAGACTATATTGTTAACCACACTTAATTGTAGTGGAGTTAATAAAAATAAATTAATTGATGCATAACTAATCAACCAAATAAAAAAAAAATCATTCAATGAAGTAATTTATAATTCAATAATAAAAAAAAAATAAGCATAATCGACAATCTAATATATATATATATATATATAGGGTCGGGATCCGATGAGAACCACTCTTTATGTGTGAACACTCCTAATATATGAGAACAAATCTAAGCCGTAGGATTAGATTAAAGTAGACGGTTAAGATCAACGGAGAACAAGTAATGGCATTAGTGTAAATAGTGAAGCTGCCCAACTTCATATTTTACCCAAAATATCTGATTTTCTATCTCATCAAATACGTTTCACACTTTCCTTCATCTTCTCTCTTAAAACCACCAAATGTTCTCTAAAATCCATTGTAACTGCTCCAAATCAAAGCAAATCACATTGATTCCTTTTGGTTTTTGCTCAAATTCAACGAATAAACTTATATAAAATAAGTTGAATTGGGCAATTTAATTAGAATTTTTGCAAATACGAACCCTAATTTGGCGGAAGAACAAATTGAAGAAAATTTTGAATGGAGGTTGGCGAAGAACAATTAATTCGTACAGAAATTTGTTCTGTACTTGTCATCATTGCCATTATTTCTATCATCTTCTTTGAGGCTTATAATCGCCGATTCAACAATTCGTATGTTATATATCTTCCCCTAATTTTTGGATGATTTCATTTTTTTTTTATGTTCACTATTTTTCACTCGTTAGTTTTCTATTTTTGTAGTCATGTTGAAGGTGAGGCAATATTTGAAGATCCAAATTCTCTTATAAAGGTAAACTTTTTAATCAATTTTAACTTGAATTTACTTAATGATTTTGTATATCCTGTTTTTTAGATCAATTGATACTGGGTATTGAAAGTTTGATTGATTCTAGGGTTTCTATTGTTTGTAATTTTTGTTTTGTGAATTGTATGTTAGTCTTCTTGAATTTGCTGGTTTTAGGAAAAAAAGTTTAAATCTAATTGCGAGATGTGGGGGGATGCATCATGTTTGTTTTGGTAAATAGATTTAATTGATTTTAATTATCTAATAACATAAGGGAGGGTTATGGTAGCATTGTTTATTGTTGTAGATTATAATAATTGAAATTTGTTGTATTCGTAGATTTTCTATCTTGATCATCTGAGCCGCATTCTAGTATCATGGGGTGAGGCGCCCAGGATAAAGATGTGGTCGCAGGACGAAATTTGTAAAGCTATTCACCAAGACAAATTTGAGTCTGGTGACTATGGTAGACTGTTAGTGAGTATCTTTTCTAAAAATATGGTTTACAGTATATCATAGAACATGTTATTTCCCATTGCCTTTGAGTATGTGTTGATATGTTTTGCACTGAATATCGCGTATCATGAGGATCATCCATTGATTCCTCATGGCAAGAATGACAAGAGTAAATAAAAGGCTACAGCGAATTCAAAAGCAAAAGCAGATATGGACGGAATTATAGATGAGGTGTTGTATTTATGTTTATCCAACCTTTGTGTTGTTTTTATGAAAATTAATATAATATTTATTTAATGGTTATAATGTGATACTGGTTGTTTAGGGTAAAAATTCTGATTGGAAAATATTACTCATATATTCTTAGGCGCATCAAACTTTCTGTTGCTAAACTTGCACTTGTAAGTCATGCTTTATGTGCAAAGAGAAACTCTTTGAGTTATTGGCTACAAGTTGGCATGTTTAAATGTATGTTAAAGAACTGTTGGAAACACATTTGGATTCACTTCTTTTCTGACAATGCTGAATTGTATGTTTTTGAGATTTGCTACCTTTTCAACTTAACCAAGTTATAATACATTGCTTTTGGAATCTTGTTATCAGAATTATTGACTTCAGTAGTAAACTATTTTCTCAGGTTCCATACCCTTCTATATTTGATCCCGCTGGGAAGTATATATCTTTGATAATTCCTGTATATATAAGGTAAGGAAGAGCACAGACTTCCAAGTGCACTTCAGGAAACTATTAAGTAAGTTTGTCTAGAATACAATGGCAAAATAAGATCCTTCAATATTCTCCTTGTCTGTCTATTACCGCTTTTGTTAGTACCTTGAATTTGATATTTCTTACATACTATGTTTTGGAAAACATGTGTGTCCCCCAAAAGATATTAGCTATTCATCTCTGTTTTTTCTGACGCTGTAATTACGTATATGTTGGTGACAAGTTACACAGAAAATGATTTAAAACATATGATAAACCTATTAGCTCAAATGGTAGAGCACTATGCAAATGCATAGGGGATGTAGGTTCAATTCCTACATAGGTTATCTCTATAAACAAAATTAATTAAAAAAAAAATATCAAATTCGTACTAAATTATATGAGCAAAAAAAGGGTTTGAAATGATTTATAACTATATAAACTTTGTTACTATTAAACTCTCATACAAACTTGTGTCTCCACATTACATAAATGAACCTACGTGGGATTCGAACCCACATCTTTTGTGCATTTGCACAATGCTCTACCCTTGAGCTAGTAGGCTAATGTATTTAAAACATTCAAACACACTCACAAATGAGCATTAATTTGACAAAATGAGTAAGAATCATTTGCTCATTTGACAAATGATCATTAAATAGTTTGCTCATTTGACAAAGGAGCATTGAATTTTTTTTGCTCATTTGACAAATGAGCAAAAAATTAATTGCTCATTTTGACAAATTAGTAAAGAATAAATATTAATTTTTGACAAAATGAGCCAAAATTATCTGTTCATTTGACAAATGAACAAATACTTAGTTGCTAATTTAACAAATGAGCAAAAACTTAGCTGTTCATTTGTCAAATAAGCAATTAATTTCCTTGCTCATTTGTGAAATGAGCAACCATGATCATTTAATTTGGCAATGGGCAATCAAATTTTTGCTCATTTAGTAAATGAGAAAATAGTTAGTTGCTCATTTGTTAAATAAGCAAATAGTTATTTGTTAATTTAACAAATGAGCAAAAATTAGTTGTTCATTTGTCAAATGAGCAAGTAGTTAGTTGCTCATTTATCAAATGAGCAAACATTTCTTTAATCATTCATTAAATCAACAAGCATTTCTTTTGCTCATTTGTGAAATGAGCAAAAAATAATTGCTCATTTGACAAATAAACAACTAATTATTTGCTCATTTGACAAATGAGCAACTAATTATTTGCTCATTTGACAAATGAGCAACTAATTATTTGCTCATTTGTCAAATGAGCAAATACTTAGTTGCTAATTTAAAAAATGAGCAAAAAACTTAGTTGCTCATTTGTCAAATGAGCAAACTATTTAAAAGACATGACTTAGCGCACTTTGATGAGCAAAACGTAATATGATTTTCTTCAGAGTCACCTTTACTACAAGTATAAATAGTTGGATTGGAAATTGCTACCTAAATTGATCAAAGTATATGAAGAATTAAAGATAAAATTAACGAACCTTGAATACAATTGCAGTAGAAGTTGATTCAAGAATATCATGGGATATCTAATAGAGTTTTGACTGCAGTTAAAATGTGACTACTTTACAAATATTAGAGAAAACAGAGAAAAGTCATTGCATAATAATGTTTATTTCTCTCTTTCTTATTGCATACATGCCAGATATTATAATTTAAGCTCTCCTAGTCTCATAGAAGTTGTTCTTAAATAGTATAAGTCAAGCCCAAGAATTAATCAATCAGGAGTTCTATGCTAGGAGGTATTGCCTCTTAAAGTTAGGTTGTCGCTGTGCTTAGAAGGCTAGATAAATTATGGGTACCTTCTCCTTGTATATATTTCATTCTTGGTTTTTTTTACTTATATTTAAGTCATTATGCTGGTGGCAGAGCCTGAAGTGGTATTAGGCTTCTTCTGATCTGATGGAATTTTATGAACCAGATTTCAAAGTATAAAACTTATTTATCTTCTTTAAATCCTAAATTAAGGACATGCTTTAAGTGAGAAAAGAGGTTTTAAGATAATCAGAACGAAATAGTCACAAAACATATGGCTAATTTGGTTTTGCATCGTAGTTGCTAAACTTTCTACTTATTTTATAAATTCTGAATATCGCCAACAACGCAGGAGCACAAGCTAAATAAAAACTACATACCTGCTCTGCACACAGATCCAAGGCTTCTTGTGGTAGATTATCTGGTAGCTTATCCAAGCTAGCTTTGGTAGATAAAGCTTCTGATAATTGTTCAATAGCAAAAGATCCACTTTTCACAAGCACATCCCTTTTACTGTCCCAAGCTTCTGACAGAATTGAACAACTTATGAATAATTGGATGAGGAATAACCAAGGTCAACATTTTGGATAAGAGATTTTATAAAAGATCGAAGTACCATATTTCAGAATCATTTTTATAAACTGGCTGCCATTATTCCAAAGTTTACCTAAGCACAGTTTTAAACCCAGGTCTCCCATACTTGTCATCTGGTGGGAAATATGTTCTACCCATCAGTGGCTTAAGATCAGGTGAAAGGAACATAAACAAGCAATTTAAATAAGACAGCTAAAAATGAGTTTAAAGGCATTGCTATCACCATTTCTAGTAGCCTGCTCTCAGGTGAAACCATTGTTGGCAAACTGGGACCATAGACATCAGCATCGAAAATACCAACTCTAGCACCCATACCAACAAGAGTATAAGCTAGATTAACAGCAACAGTTGATTTTCCTACACCTCCCTATATATTGCAAGAAAAGAGAACGATGTTGAATAAATTAAATCCCAGGAAATAAACCAAATTTTGATACAATAGTAGCCATCATAATTTGTTGAACAAAATGTGTTTCACAACAACCCAAAATGATAGCCAAGATAGTTGTTAAACAATATATAATCGTAGAAATTGATGCTGAAAATGTCTCAACACCTAGAAGCTAGAAGCCGAGACTCAATACAATCTTGGGGAATATTAAATAAGAAGATCATCAATTAAATATGTACCACATTTGAAATTGATAAAATAATAGGATTCATTGGAGAATATTGTCAAACACTTAGTGTGCGTCAAAATTTAAGCACAAATTAGTGAAATGCAAGTACCAAAATTGACAAAAATCAATCTCTATAACCATTCATAACCTCAGAAATTATAAATAAAAGTTCGAATTACACTATAAAGTACCCTAAATTAACAAATGAAGCAAAAATTAAAACTAAAATCAACTAATAAGTACTCAAATAGAAATCGCCAGGAAAAAAATCGAACGGAAATTCAACGAAAATCGCCAAAAATCGCAAAAAAAAATTGACAAAAACCTTAAGTAATCAAACTAAAATCAAACTTTAATCAACGAAAATCAAACTTAAATCAACGAAAATCAAACTAAAATCAACGAAAGTTATATATATATAAAGTAGGCATTTTTCGAGAGCATTCGGCGTGAGTTTTATTTTGACCAGTGAAAAATTAGATATACATTTTAGTTTAGAATTAAAAAATTCATTCGCCACCTAAGAAAAATTAACGAATGAGATTTAAGAATTTAAATTCAATTTCCACGTAGCTAAAAAACGACTAATAGTGATTGAGGATTTAAATAATTAAAAAGCCAAAAACTAATCTTTGGATATTAGAGATTTTATCAAAATAACGGATAAATATAATGTAAATGGATTTTTAAATTTTATTTTACTTTTAATTAATTTTAATGTCATCAACAAAATCATCAAATGAATCGCATTTTTTACTTACATTATAAATAAAAATTATACATTTCTAATAAAAATTTAATCGCAAAATTATTGGAATTTAAATACTAAAAACATAATAATTAAAAAAAACTTAGACTTTAAGTAAAAAAATCTAATATATATAAATTAGGCATTTTTCGAGAGCATCCGGCGCGCAACATAAGCAAAGGTATTATTTTGACCAAATGAAAATTAGATTTGTATTTTTTTTAAAATTAATAAATTCACTTGCCACCTAAGAAAAATTGACGAATGATATTTAAGAAATTAAATTCAATTTTCACGTAACCAAAAAACGATTAATAGTGATTAAGGATTTAAATAATAAAAAAAGGCAAAAAAATTGTCTTTTAACATTAGAGATTTCATACAAATATCTGATTATTATAATGTAAACAGATTTCTAATTTTTATTTTACTTTTAATTAATTCAAGTGTCATCAACAAATTAAATCACGTTTTTAATTACATAAAATATAAAAATTGTTCAATTCTAATAAAAAATTAATCACAATATCATAGGGATTTATATAATAGAATTTTGACAACTAAAAAAACTTAGACTTTAAGTAAAAAAAAAGGCATTAATTTACTTGGTTTATGTAAAAGAAATTAGAATAAAAAAAAATATTATAGAGATCCATAAATCAAAATTAATATATATAAAAAAAAAAATGCATCGCATAGGAGGCATTTTTTGAAAGCATTCGACATGCCATCAAGAAAAAATATTATTTCAAGCAATGAAAAATTAGATTTATATTCTATTTTAGAATTAAAAAATGTATTAGCCATCTAAGCAAAATCAACAACTGAAATTTAAGAATTCAAATTCAATTTGTCAAAGGAATAATGATTTAGGATTTAAATAATTTAAAAAACTAATAATTATCTTTTCATATTAGGGTTTAAGTTATTCAAAATACTAAAAATTATCTTTTAAGATTAATAATTTTGCATAAATAGCTGATGAATGAGATTGTGTTTTATTATGTATTTTAATTTTAATAAATCAAAAGTTTATATAAGTAAATGAATGAAATAGTAAAATTAATTAAAAGATTTAAAAACTTTTAGTCTAAGACAGTACAAAAATATATGGAGTACCTAAATGAAAAAAAAGATTCATATTTTATTTAAGAATTAAAAAAAATAATTGCTCATAAGCAAAATTAACGAATAAGATTTGATATTTTATGTGCCAAGTTAAAAAAAAAACCTACGAATAGTGATTTAAAATTGAAATTATTTAACAAAATATTATCTTTTAACATCAAGTATTTTATTCTAATATCCTACAATATTTATAGTTTAGATATAATCATAAATTTTTCCACATAACTAACATCAACTAGGTCGCATTATAAATTGCATAAATTTAATAAAAAGTACCTAACTCCATTATAAATTGCATTAAATTAAAAGTACCTTTACAAGCAATAACAAATTAATCAAAATATTATATGATCTAATTAAAAATATTATATTTTCGTGGAATTTATGTATTAAAAAAAACGTGCATTGCACGGGCTTTTAGATTTCTATTTTATTTTATTTTAAAAAATTCCTCGCCACCTAGATAAAAGTGACGAATTAGATTTGATATATCTCTAATTTTAATGCCACGTAGATTAAAATCCACGAATTAAATTATTTTCATGGAAAAAAAGTAAAGTAAAAATCCAATGATATAGATATTAAACGACAAATAGATATTATTAATTAAATCACTATACTATCTAAAAACTATTGAGGTTCCTGGCCAAGAATTAAATTATTTTCATGAAAAAAAATAAAGTAAAAATCTAATGATATAGATAAACTACCTAATCTCCAAAAAGATATTATTAATTAAATCACTATACTATTTAAAAACTATCTTCATGAGGTTACTAGCATAGTATTGAAATATCTTTGATTGAAATATTATAGGATAATAAACACCCACTACATATAAATATTATATGACGCAAAACACAAATAATATCTTAGTCACTATTCGTAACTATACTTTTTACCCATTAATATTTTATTATGTGTATGAATGTTGGTATTTGATGGTTGCATATTGAAATAATATTCATTATAAGATTTGATAATCCTAACTATGATTTTTTTTATTTTTATTGATAACTATTTTTAATTTATTTTAATAATAACCCAATAAAATAAATTAAAAACACTTATAATCATATCATAAAACATACCTACCATTATAAGATAAATTTTGATGGTGTTTACGATAAGAATTAAAAATTGTTCATTAATTATAATTAAATCAAATTTGTGATACCTACCATTATAAATTGACGCATCATACGACACCAACAAAATTTTGTATCAATACAAAACCAAATCAAATAAATTTTGTGTTAGTAATTTTGTGTCAGTTTTAGATCATCAATGCGTGGGTAATTCTTAGCTAATTTTTTAAATTTATATTAGTAATTATTACTTACATTGTGTTTATTTTGGGATACTTAAAAATTTTATGTTTATGTTTTTTTTTACATGCAGATCTAATTTAGTCAGAGAATTAAATTTGAGCAAAAATGATTGAAAAATCAAAGTACGAGTTTCTCGCCTGTTTGACGTACTAAACTTTCGCAAACAAGATAGCTTAATAAGTTTGGATATGGTCCTATTGGACGAGGAGGTATTTCTTATAAAATATTTACCTCTATTAATTTTTTTTTAAAACCTCTTTAGTTTTTATTGTAATTAATTAACTTAATTTCTTATTTTTAATTACAGGGTGATTACATTCATGCCTCAATTAAATCCAACTTTGTTCAACCCTTTCGTGCGAAATTGATTGAAGGAAAAGTTTACACCATTAGATACTTTTCAGTCGTTCTAAATAAGAATCAATATCGCGTTGTCAGTGGCAACAAAATAATGATTCAATTTTTTCAAAGTACTGTTGTTCGAGCGATTGAGGATGATGAAAAAATTCCAATGCATATATTTATTTTATACAATTACGTTCTTTAGATCAATTTCGCAACAATTATTCACTTCCTGGTAAATATATTGATTTATTTTATCTAAATGTATAGATTGTTTTATATCAATTTTATTTTTGCTAATATTTCAGTGTTCTATTTTTCTACTTTTGCATTAGACGTAGTAGGTATGCTTGTGAAGGAAATTGGTGATTCTATCGAAATAGAAGATAAATGGTATGCATGTTTTTTATTATATTTAAATAATTCTTCTTACATATATTTATTTTATATGTATCTAATATTTTTTTGTTTTTAGGGGGAAACGAGTTCAAATTAAGCTTTGGAATAAAGTTTTTGTGGAGTATAAGAAACAGAAAAACCAACTCAATGATTTCACTAAACCTTTTCCAATTATAGTTACGTCAACGATGGTGAATGAGTTTAATGGTAATTTAAGTTTATTGTTGTTTATTATTTAACTTATTTTATTTATTTATTTATCTATCTATTTATTTATTATTATTACTTAATATATAGGTACTTTTAATCTAACCTCTTCGTCATCGACCAAAATCTATACAAATGTAGAAGTTCCAGAATTTCAGGTCTTAAAAGACATTTGGAAGTATGATTTCTCTTTCAAAATTCTTTTTTTGGTACATAGCGTATGCTTTTTATCAATAAATTGATGTTACTGCTACACATAAAAGACACTACTAACACTATTGTTTGAAGATATAATCAAATCTGTTTGTTGCTTTTGGTGGGTCCATTATGCAAGCTTCGAAAGTCCATCGACTCTTATTATTTATATTTTTTAATAATTTTTTGTTTTTTTTATTGTAGTGAAAAATCGGAAAATAGTACTATTGAAAAACTTGAAATACAACGTACTTCTATAGACTCAGAAGAAATTATCTCCAAGAAGATTGATATATGAATCACATCCAAAAAAACTGTTGAAATGGTATTATATTCAAAAATACTATTTTATAATTTTGAAGTATTATTTAATAATTAGATTTATATCATACAAACAATTTTCCATTAATTTCTTAAATATAGGATTTAATCTTCTACTGTAAGGCTAAAGTAGCTGATATCATGGGTGAGAATGGTTGTTATTATATCTCATGTCCGGTTTGTAAAAGACACGTCACTCCAAGATTGACGGATTTTTTATGCATCCTTTGTGAAAAATCAGTCGAAAGACCAATACCAAGGTTAGAGATCTACGAATAGTTTATGGTTTAAATGTTAGTCATATTTAATTAGCTATTGAAATTATATTTTTTTATAACGACCTTTAGGTATCGTTTGGAGCTTGGTGTTGAAGATCATAGTGGTTTGACTATATTTGTTATATTTGATGAAGAAGCTAAGAAGTTAATTGGTCAAGATGCAAGTATAGTTTTTGAAGCTCATATTTATGAAAAGGTTGTCCTTTTTAAATTACTTTCAAAAAATTTAAATATTTTTTTTTCTTAAAAAACAATTATATACTATAATGATTATTCAAAATATTGATTATATAATAATATATTTATTGTATATTAATCTTTTGCAGGCCAATAACAAAGACAATGCTAGCGATAATTACGCAGAATCAGAAATACCAAAGATAATTAAAAATATCATTGGAAAAGAATTGATTTCAAAGTTAAAATCACTGCTTATAATCGTAAAAGATCACGACAAACCTTCACTGTGATGAAAACTTTTGAAACAATTATTCTTGAGGTATGTTTTAACTTTTAAAAATTTTGAAAAAATATTTTAAACTTTTCCAAAAAAATAAGCGTTATACTAACTATTTGATATGTAGGACGACAAAGAAGCTACAACAAATAAAGAAGAAGATACAACTAAGGATAATGGAAAACGGTCTCATAATAAATCTGATAATAAAGATGATAAAAATTCTAGCAACACATTTAAAAAATCAAAGGTATCTATCTAATTTTTCTCAAAAATTAGCTATTTTAATTTTAAATTAATATACTAATTAACCGTTTAAAAATCTATTTATATTGCAGGCTTAATTTCATGATCAAGATAACAAGTTTTACAGTGCGGAAGGATATTCAAGCTTCGAAATTATCATCCATTATGTAGTTTTTATATACTTCATTAAATAATCATTGATAATTTTAGATTTTAATTATTATGTTAGTCATTAGACTATTTAGCAAATACTTCATATGATTTTAAATTATTATGTACTCCCATATTTAATATTTTAACTTTTATAAGAGATCTTATACCTTTTATTATTACTATTGTATTTCGTGTTAATATTTTCGTGTTTTTATATCACATATCACTTGCACACATGCAAAAAACAAAATATACATGCACGGTTATGGCTCAAGACCCCACTAAATTAAAATGATATCACATATATGCACATAAAAATAGGTTTCACAAAATTAGGTGAGAGTCAATATTGGCTATGATTTTGTCCACAAGCTACCAAAAACGAGTATATATCTGAAATTAAAAAGATATTCTTCTTAAAAAAAAAATACTTTTATTGTAAAGATATTACTCATAACTCTATATTCTAATCCTAACCCAACTTTAATAAAATTATTATCATACCTATTTGAATTATATATAAGACTACAAATTATCTTTTTTTTAAGAGCTAAAAAATTATCTTTAGATATTAAAATTTAAAAAAAAAACAAAAACAAAAAAAACAACGCGATATTGATTATTATTTGTGATATGATTTTATGTTTTTTTATTTTTTATTTTTTTTTATTGGGCTAATTGCGCGTGATCAAATTTGGCATGTGTTCTAATTTATATCATCCGTCATAAAGATGATAAATATTCTACCAACAACACATTTAAAAATTATATACTATTTACAAAATAATATACTAATTATCCTCTTAGAATGAGGCTTTCACAAAATTATATGAGAGTCAATATTGGCTATGGCTATGATTTTGCACAGAAGCTACAAAAAACGTGTATACAATGCTATTGAAGGTGGGGGTGAAAAAAAAAAGGAAGTGAGAAAAGAAGTAAATAAAAATGACCAAAAAGTATTAGGTGAAAAAAGAGGACCCATATAAAGTTAGAAGGAACAAGATAATCTTTTCATGTGTGATAAAATTTTTTTTAAAAAAAAATTTAAATTTAAAAGATAAAATTTACTTTTATTGTAAAGATATTACTCATAACTCTATATTCTAATAACCCAACTTTAATAAAATTATCATACCTATTTGAATCATAGTTTTTATAAAATTACATATCTGCAACTCAAGAAAGAACACAATCATCGTACAGTGAATTTATTCTAAGATGTACCATGAACCAACCAAGATTTCATTATAAAAGCTTTGCAAAGAGAAAGAAGGAAAAGGAGACGATTGATACTCAATGAGAAAAAAGCACGAAGACAACTTCATATAGCCAGGTAATTAATATAGAACTTAACTTGTTCTTTCTAATTTAATTAATCAACATATCAATCTACTGTTAATAATGACTTGAAAGTGATGTTATTTGATTACCATTGAGAAAAAAGTTGCTACATGAAACCGTATGTAATACAAGAATTATACGCTCTCTTTGAAACAATATATGCTCTACGCTCTGTATAAATTATAGCAAGAAAATGCTCACGTCTAAGTCGAACAACTTATCATGTTCCCAATCCAATTTTAGTTCATAGCTTTGTATAAATAGCGTTGTACACAAAACCCAAGATTATTAGGACATAATTAAATTTATAACTATTAAACACATGCTACAACATCAACTATGGATCTGCTTAGAGTATTAAAATTCAACAGTAAAAGAAAAAAAAAAAAAAAAAAAAAAAAAAAAAAAAAAAAAAAAAAAAAAAACCACAAATAGAAAGGCAACATTAGATCACCCAAAACCTGCAATATATAAATTTACAATATTTTTATAAATTGCTAACACTTTGCTCATCTTTGAATTCTATGTGTAGATTGGCATAAAGACAAAAGAAGGCGATTAATAAATAACAAAGAGAATGGACAAATGCAATTCGAAACAACATCAGCAGGTATCATAAAACTTACCAACTTACCTTGCACTTTCTTTAAATCACTATCCTTATCTAAGCATGAATTAATTTAATGTACAAGAACAAATAAAGAAAGCTACAAGTATATAAGCTTAGGCCTACCTGAATATGAATGTCCAGAGTGTGGTGCATTAATGTGGTACGAAGAGAGAGTTAAGAAGAGAAGCACAAAGAACAGGACAATCTTTAACCTATGTTGTCAAGAGGGGAAGTAAAATTACCCAAATTCAAAGAAACACCCAAGTTGCTGGAAGAATTGTTGAATTACATGGGAGACAAATGCACATCAGTCTTCAGACAACTTGTTTGTATATACAATTCATGTTTTGCATTTATGTCAATGGGCGCTAAGATTGATAATTCAGTAAACACAACAGTAGGCCCTTATGTTTTTAGAGTAAGTGGGCAGAATCATCATCGAATAGGGTCTCTTCTGCCAGTAGATGATAAACAACCATCATTTGCACAGCTATATATATATGATGGTGCATTTAAGAACAGAAGTTGTTCAAAAGAATGAAAACAGCCCAACATTGAATTTTGAATTACTCTCCAAATTGAAAGCAATGCTTGAAAAAGTAAATCCCCTGGCACAAACCTTTAGAATGGCACAACAAGAATAAGACAAAATGTGGGAGAAAAGTGGACCATAAGGCTACTTGGTACAAGGGACAACAAAAACAAAGCGTACAACATGCCAACGTCATCTGAGATAGCTGCACTTATAGTAGGAGATATTGGAAATAACACATATGGAAGGGATATAATAATTGAGCACAAATCAGAAGGATTACAAAGAATAAGTGAATTACACCCAAGCTTCATGGCTTTACAATATCCTCTGCTATTCCCATACGGAGAAGATAGTTACCATCTTGGGATAGTATATGCTAAGAAAAAAGGATTAGGAAAAGGCAAGAGGGAATGTGTGATCATGAGGTTAACTACTTATCTTATTCAAATTAATATGCACGTTTTTACTAATCTAACACATATATAAACCTCCAAAAAAAATACGAGAATTTGTTTACTTATATGACAATAAATTCATATTTTCTAAACATAATTCCTTATATTTTGCTGCAGGTCAATTACTTTTACAATTTATTGTAGACTGCTATTGCGCGATTGAAGAAGAAAGGTTGTCATTTATCCGAAACAACCAACATCAATTTAGGTGCAAAACTTACAGCAACATACGAGATGTTGTGGTACAAGGAGACATGAATGGGGCAACAGTGGGAAAAAGAATTGTCCTACCAGCATCATTCACGGGAGGACCAAGATACATGTACCAAAACTACCAAGATGCCATGGCAATATGTAGACAATATAGAAGCCCACATCTATTCATCACATTTACTGCTAACACAAAGTGGCCAGAAGTACAAGCAATGTTGAGTCACATTGAAGGACAAAAGTCAGAAGATCGACAGTATATCATGGAAAGAGTATTCAAGCTCAAACTAAAACAGCTCATGAAGTGTCTAAAAGAAGACCATTACTTTGGGACTGATGTGGCAGGTAAAAATTAAAAGAACCTAAAAAAAATAAAAAAATAAATCCAAAATAGGGAACAAAAGCCATAACTCAGAAGATAGAAATAGAGAACCTAACCTAAAAACATGCCCGATCACTCAAGTAAATTTATAATAACTGTGACCTAAAGACTTCCCATCAAATTCATGCAGCTCGGTAGTTTCCCTCTTGGTTAATATCTGTAAAAGTAATTTAAAAAAGAATTTTCAAAGTTATGAATGCGTACCAGTAGCAGGACGCACACACACACACTTCAAACACATGATAATAGAGAAACATGATATAGCGTTTTTGTATTTCATTCATTTTGTTTCCTTAATCTACTTTTATAGTTTTCCATGGTTTACTTTTTAGTTATAAGCAAACTTTAATAATTTACGATGAACTGATGATGAGCAAGTTAATTAAAAGTCAAAAAAGAAAAAAAAAAAAACAAAAAAACAATAGCAAAAAATGCTATAACTAACTTTCAGTAATGTATGACTGAAATACAGATGTTTGCAATGTGGAATTTCAAAGGAGGGGGCTACCTCATGCTCATATACTTTTATGGATAAAGGAAGAAGAATTACAACGCACTCCACAATTCATAGACACAATCATTCAAGTAGAGATCCCAAACAAATAATCGAAACCAGAATTATATGAGGCCATTACGCGTTACATGGTTCATGGTCCATGCGGAAATTTTAATCCGAATTGCCCATGCATGGTGGATAAGAAGTGCAGCAAAAACTATCCAAAGCAATTCAATCAAGAAACTGTTTTTGATAATAATGGTCACCCTGTATACAGAAGAAGGGACGACGAAAGGAAGTAAAAAATTTTACAACTAATACTTACTAATGCCATAAGTTGCTTCATACTCAAATCCCAATATAAAACTCGCAGGTTCATTAAAAAGGGTGATCATCTAATGGATAAAAGATCAATAGTTCCATACAATGAAGGCCTACTACTAATGTTTGATGCTCATATTAATGTGGAATGGTGCAATACCACATGTGCTATCAAGTACCTGTTTAAATATATATGCAAAGGACCAGACAGAACAACCATGATAATTAGTGACGACCAAACAGATGAGATAAAATCGTACCTTGATTGTAGGCATATCTTAGCATGTGAGGCCGCATGGAGAATTTTCGAATTTGAATCCATGAAAGAAGTCCTTCAGTCATATGTCTACCTGTACACTTGGAAGGAGAATAGGCGGTTGTTATTCGAGACAATGAGAATTTAAGCATGCTCATGAACAATGGAGAAGCCAATGAGACTATGCTCATGGATCGGAATGGATGCATACCAATGCAATTGATGAGGATGCAAGGTCCTTAACATATGCAGATTTCCCTACAGACTATGTATGGACTACCATTGATGAGGTTGATGAGCTTGGAAATACAAAAAAGAAAAAATCATGGGAGAAACGACATCATGGAAAAAGCATCGGAAGAATAACATATGTACACCCAACAGCAGGAGAGAGGTACTACCTTCGTCTACTACTCAACATTGTCAAGGGTCCTAAATCTTTTCAGGAAATAAGGACAATCGATGGCTACTTGCATCCTACCTACAAAGAAGCGTGCTATGTTTTGGGACTACTTAGCAATGACAAAGAGTGGCACGACTCTATACAAGAGGCCAATCAGTGGGCAATGCCATCGCAACTACGAGAACTATTTGTCACACTACTTTTATTCTGTGACGTGACCGACATATTCAGCCTATGGGAAAGTAGCTTCAAGGCCCTCTCAGAACACATACTACAAAAGAGAAGGCGATTGTTCAAACATCCAGAACTAATACTTACAGAAGATCAAATAAAGACATTCACCCTATCGGAGATTGATATTTTTTTGTCTATGGCCACGGAGGGACTGGAAAGACTTTCCTATACTACACCATATCAGCAAAGCTTCGTGCTGAAAAGAAAATTGTTCTAAATGTGGCGTCATCAGGTAAGGCATTAATCTTTAAAAATGCTATTAGTAAATTCAAATGCTACTTGATATTAAATTAAAATTCATAATTGACAGTAAAATTAGTCACATCTTTACGATATGTAATCTAGGTAATATAACAAAAAACAGAAAAAAAAAATAAAAAAAAATTCCACTAACTTCTCTTCAAACAGCAAATTAGGTATTGCGGCCCTACTGTTACTTGGAGGAAGAACAGCACACAGTAGGTTTGAGATACCGATTGACCTACTAGAGAATTCAACATGTAATATCAGTCGTAAAACACAGCATGCAGAACTACTACAACAAACATCGTTGATTATATGGGACGAAGCACCAATGGACCACATGTTTGCATTTGAAGCACTTGATCGCACTATGAGGGACATTGCAGGGTACAAGAACCCAAACGCAGCATCTAAGTTATTTGGTGGGACGGTGGTATTACTCGGAGGAGACTTTCGGCAAGTACTCCCCATCGTGCCAAAGGGAGGTAGACAAGAAATTGTCCAGGCTTCGATCGATAGATCCCACATATGGAAAGATTGCAATGTGTTTATACTGAAACAAAGCATGAGGGTACGAGAAGGGAACACCGAGATAGAGAACTACTTTAAAAATAAGAGGTTCAATGAATGGCTGTTAGCTATGGGAGATGGAAGGCTTGAAACACAAAATGAAGATCATGAAGTCGAAAGAACATGGATTGAAATACCAAGTAAGAATATAGCAAATGTGGATATCTTTGATCTGAAAATTGTCATGGAGACGATTTACCAAAAATTTGAACAAAGAAGTGATGCCAACTACTTGAGGGAGAGGGCTATACTCACACCCCTAAATGATACTACGGATAGCATAAATGACTACATGATGGGTCTCTTACCCACAGAAGAAAAGACCTACAAAAGTTGTGTGAAATATGCTTATCCTCAACAGAATGTGACCAACAATTTGATGCATACCCTACAGAGTATTTGAACAGTCTAAAGTTACCTAGCTTACCCCACCATAAGCTAAAGTTGAAAGAAGGAATGTCGGTCATGCTTCTTAGAAACATAAACCCACCACAAAGGGCTGTGCAATGGAACTCGCCTTATTATTACGCATCTTGGGAAGTTTGTAATTGAAGGAAAGATCATTACTGGGTCTAAACAGGAAAACAAAGTTTTAATACCTAGAATTGTAATGACATCAACAGACCACAAACTACCATTTATATTGAAAACAAGACAATACCCTTTAAAGCATTGCTATGCAATGACAATAAACAAGAGTCAAGGACAGTCACTTTCATATGTGGGAGTATACCTACCGAATCCTGTTTTCAGTCACGGACAACTCTATGTGGCAGCATCAAGAACAACTTCACCAGAAGGCCTAAAGTTTTTTATTGATGATTCTTTACAAAAGTACAAAAGGAGCACAAAGAACATCGTCTACAAAGAAGTTTTCTCAAACTTACCCTCTGTGTAATAGTCATAACTTTTATTTTAGACCCAAATTTTTCATATAAACAATATTTTTTATTTTAAGCAAAACACGATTTTTTTTAAAACCAAACCACATTAGTCATATAAAGATTTAAATTTTTTAAATAATCCATATTATTCATATATAGATTCTCAATAATAGTGGTTGTTCCCACTCAATGATACGATATAGAGGAGTACATTTTACAACTCAATTAGTACATGAGCAACAAGAATGAGATAGTATATGTTACGTTAGTTAGTTACAATTGTGAACAACAAGCAACCACTACTATGCCATGATTATTTTCTATTAACTTCTCTATCTTTACTTTTAAAATATTATTTGTCAAAATTAGTTAAAACTCAACCAAATAAATCAAACTTACAAATAATAATAATAATAATAATAATATATATATATATATATATACACACACACACACACACACACAAAGTGTTCCAAATCTAGCCAATAAACCTCATGATTGACCCCAATGATTTAATCCTTGAAACAACCTACACCTACTTTTTCTCCTAATATGTTAAGCAAGTAAGCAACTTTAATTTTTGTTAGAAATTTAGAGTGTATGTGGAGAACCCTCTTCGAGGGGGCCGCGCCCGCGGTGGGTAGGGAGAGTCCGCGGCCAGCCATCTCTAGAAACTGAGGGTGAATCTCAAATCACCTCGCCCGCGGCGTGGACCACCGCTCCCACGGCTCAGGCTGCCGCGCCCGCGGCTCGCGGCAGTTGTGTTTCTCCTTTGTTCTTTTATTAGAAACGAAAGGATGTGACATTCAGTTTTTGTTCCCTCCTCTCCAATATTCTATCTTCTCTACAATTTTATTTGAAGAAACTTGCAATCTCTTCATCTAATCTCTATCAATTTAGCCAAATTTTGTGAATTTGATCATCTAATTTCGTCTCTTAGTGCAAAGAACGAAGTTTTGTCTTTTGTATCTCAAAGAGAACTTTCGGTATAAAGCCAAGTATTGTTGTGGGGGAAATTAATCTCTTTAGGAAAGTGTTTCACACGCCTAAGACAAAGTATCAAGGTTTGAGACTTACGTAGTCATTACAATTCTCATGTTCATGTTCTTTGTGAAGGCTTGGAAGTGAGGCAAGTATTATATCTTTCACCTTAGTTAAATTCATTGTAAATTCTGTAATTCTTCGAGTTATTAGTGCTTGGTTTGAATACATATTGTTGTATTGATTTGATTGTATAATTAGTTTCAATTATACACCGGTTTTAGGTTTTGTTCCCACAAGTTTGTATTTGATTTATACTAGTTAAAACCTAACAATTTTATTCACATTTAACACTGCAATATGTATAACATCCAACAAAAGTATCATAAAACTTCAATTTCTAATTTATGCTCTGCAACATGTAACATTTTTCAACTCAATTCATGATGACAACAACTAAAAAAAAAAACACTGATTTTTCCCTTACCTTTCTTTCCTTGCCCTTCTCTCTCCTACTTCTAGCAATCAGTTTTGTTCGATTTGTTAATCTCCTTCATAGACATATACATAGCTGCTCTGATCTTTCTTTTCTTCCTCCCTTTTACTACTTATTATTGAAATGCCGACAAACAAAGATTATTATAGATAATCTTTGTTAGCACTAATTTTGTTCAAATGCTATCAATTTTCACTCAGTACCCTAAGAAGATCATCCAACCAAAGTGGGAAGACTGACAAAGAAGCCGCAAACAAAGACGGTGTTAAAGATAATACTTGAATTATTCAGTCTAATCAGCTGGGAAAAGTTAATTCTATTTGAAATTTATAAATAATAGCTTCACCTTCTTCTTTAGTAAACCCTTTCTTCACAAATGCAGGTGTTTTCTCAGCCAATTATGTTAACTTCTCACCTCTTTTAATCACCTTTAAATTCTTCCCTGCATCAAACTTCTCCAATTTCACATCGAACATCGTCTTCTCCTTGGTCTCGGCCTCTACACTAGGTAGGGCTGGCCTAGAAGAGCTAACCCCAGCTGACAATACAGCAAACACGACAATCTTTAGGAACATCTTCATCTAAAATAGAATAGAGTAATCATGCACTATAGCAGCTTAATTGCAATTCGATCTCAATTTTGGAATTTTGATTGAGCTGATGTAAAGAGAAAGTGGAATGAGAGAGAAATTGATGGAATAAATTGTTTTACAAAGTATTTTAATGGGATTCTGGTGATTATTGAACACGGATTTCTAATCGGAAGTTTTGGAAATGAAGGATAGAGAGAATGATTTCTTGGTTTGATTTGATTCGGTTAGGGCTTATTACAGTGAAAAATGAAACAGTTGAACAGGGCTTATTCTTTCAAAGAAAGAAGTATTTATTTTTAAACCCAAATTTTAAAGTTTTTTTTAAAAAAAAACACATACAATTCCGTTAATGATTATCTACAACATATACTAAAAATGGGTGCTAACTGCTAAATAATATTTGCAATAAAGTGTTTTCTTTCCTCTTTTAGTAACATTTTTTTTTTCTCAAAATACCCTCACTTAAAAATTATTACCACATAATACTACACATAATTACAACTCATTATAACTCTAATATGAATTAATTATCTAAATCTTCCCACCTAAATAATCAGATTATCTTTCTCTCCTTCATCTTTCTTTCTCCTCCTTCATCTTTCTCTCTCCTTCTTCTCACCAACCACGCCAAACACCCAACACCATGTCCACCCTCTCCAACACCATCTTACACCGATTCCCCTGCCTCAAACCACCATTGCCGCCCACCAACAGCAGTCGTGCAATTCCGGCCCTGCCAATCACCAATTCACACCATAACAGCCCCTTAATCTCTCACCTCGCTGCACCTCATCTTCTTCATCTCTTATCTCTCATTATCAAATTCCACACCATCCTTTAAGTGGATTCCAGATCTGGTTGTTTGTGGGTGGTTTGCGTGATTCGTCGGTGGATTTGGTGGGTTGTGGGTGGATTTACAGGTTCGTGGGGGTGGTTTGTGGGTGGGTTTGGTGGTTCGTGGGTTTAGTGGATTTCGGTGGTGGTTCTGGGTTTGGAGATTCTGGGTGTGGTTTTGGTGGTTCGTGGGGGTTCAATTTGTGGGTTTTGGTGGTGGTTGTGGGTTTCGTTGGTTCATGGGTTTGTGGGTTTTGGTGGTGGTTGTGGGTTTTGGTGGTGTTTGTGGGTTCGTGGGTTTTGGTGGTGTTCGTGGATTTCGTTGGGGGTTCGTGGGTTTTGGTGGTGGTTGTGGGTTCTGGTTTTGGTGGTTGTGCGTTTCAGTGGTTTTGGTGGTGGTTTCTAGTTCTGGTTTTGGTGGTGGTGGTGATTGTGGGTTCAGATTTTGGTGGTGGTGGTGATTGTGGGTTCAGATTTTGGTGGTGGTGGTGGTTGTGGGTTCGTGGGTTTTGGTGGTGATTAGTTGTGGGTGTCGGTGGTTTAGGTGATTCTGGGTTTTGGGTTTGCTGGTTTTTGTTAATTGTGATTTTTTTAGTTGGATTAATACTTAATTACATGCTCTTATATTTCAATAATCATGCTTTAAAAGTTTTGCCCAGGCTTCCGCGAAAAGTACATTTATTGCAAATAATCGTTAACGGAGGTAGTATATCATAAACCATTAAAAAGATTTTTTATAAAAATACAAGTGCTAATGATTAGTGTGCTAAGTTATAGATAAAAATTTAAAATAATGATATAAGATTAAAAAAAAATTAAGATACAGATAACAATTCAAAATATTAAATAAGATTAAAAAAGAATGATAAAATTTATGTAAAGAAGATATGATTTATTGTATTTCCTTATAAATAGACATTAATTTAATTCATAATACATGCACCACCAATTAACCACACAATACGTAGAAATAATAATAATCGGTTTCTTTTCATAGTTGAAGACCCAACCTAAAGAATAATCTTGTCACCAACATTCATCGGAGACCCAAGATACATGTACCACAAGTACAGAAAAAGAATACACACTACATAATTGGGCTGAAAAGGGGAATAAAATAATTCTGCAAGCAACATTCACGGGAGACCCAAGATACATGTACCACGGGGCTGAAAAGGGGAATAGAATAATTCTGTTAGCATCATTTACGGGAGGCCCAAGATAATGTACCACAACTACAGACAAAAAATACACTCTACATAGAGGTGAAAGAGAGAATATGTTTGAACCTAGCAAATTGATTTTTAATTATATTATTAATAAAAAGTAGATTTTAATTAATTGTAACAGTTTTTCCTTTCTTTGAAAACAATTGCTTTAGCTTATCCATTACAGTAATAATTAGGGGCCGTTTGGTTCGCACAAGGGAATCGGAATGGAATTTAGAAAGGGAAGGAGGAGAATGGAATGAAACCCTTAGAATTTAGGGTGTTGTTTGGTGAGAATGGAGGAGAATGGAATGAAACCACCATAGAACCACCATAGCACAACCATTGCACCCCTTCCTTCATTAGTTTCCACCTTCTCCAGCCACCATACTTCCCAACCAACACCATTCCGGGACCGGCCGTCCCTCCTCCGACCTTCGCCGCCTCTCCCCTCACCTGTGAGGTCCGTCGAACAGCAATCCACACCGCAACCTTTCTCGTCCTCGACCTTAGCAATCCCGATTGAATTCCAACCAAAACGCATCTATCGAACTTCCCCAGCAACACCGAGGGTTGGGCCGTAATTCCGACGGTTGTTTGTCGGACCTCCTCCGACCTGGTGAGGTGCAACCGGTTGTTCCGGTGGAGGGAGGGTTTTTAAGGGTAACACGAGGGTCGGGAGAAGGGTTTTCGGGTGGGAGAAGGGGCAGCGAAGAGTGGCGAGGGTCGGAGGAAGGCCAACGAGCATCCGGCGAGGTGAAGCGAGTTTCGGCGAGGTATAGCAAGTTCCGGTGAGGTGCATCCAGCTGATGAGGTATGGTGGTGGTTGGGGAAAGGGAATGGGAAATATAGGGGGGGAATGAGAGTAGGAGGATTTTGGGTAAACCCAAAAATAAAAAGGGGGAATGGGAATGACAAAAAAGGGAAAACAAACACCAACAAAGGTAATCATTCCCATTCCCTTTCCCCATCACAGCGAACCAAACAGCCCCTTAATGTCTTCGTATTGATGACTTTATCTGTTCTTATTTAATAATAATAAAAAATACCAAAGTCGTGCATCGCACGAACTTCACACCTAGTTTAAGAATAAATATATCCTCTTTCAATTGTTTTGTTTTTTTCTATTTCATTCATTTTTTTTTTTTTTGAAAATTTATGTAAATATCAAACTATTTTGTATGGGAATAACTAACATTTTCTTGCTTCTTTTTTTTTATTATTATTATTTTTTTATTACTCAGCATGATTATTTATTTCAAATTTTAATGTAAATTTTAGTAAAAACTTAGGCCTTATTTTCCTCACCTTATTTTTGATGAATTGAAGTTATTTTTCACTAAATTAAATTTATTTTTACTGAACTGAATTTATTTTTACTATTTAAAACTTAGGTTTCTAATTCTCTGCTATATTTGTTCTTTGAATTACTAACTTTTACCAATTAAAGCTTATATTTACTGAATTGAATTTTTTTTTGCTCAATTTAATTATTAAATTTACAAATTGAAATTATTTTATTAAATTTAAATTATTTTTATTAACTATTATGAAGAGAACAAGACTTTATTATGTCAGATTTCTAAATTTGGATTTATTGTGATCAAATTGAAGTAATGCGTTTGTTTTTAATTATTTCTCGAAATGCGTGCATGTAGAGCTAGTATTGGACTATATTATCGTTCGGCCTATTGGCTGTCTGGGGTTCATAAAATAAAATGTTAAAGCCTAGACTCACGTAGAGCATGTTTTTCAGGCTTAAGATGCGGTTTCAGAGTATTGTAAATTTGTAACCTAAGACCCATTTGTCAAGGTATCCGTTGCCAAGCTCTTTATGGCCCAAAATTGGGCCCAGTGCAATAGCTAAATCCAAAACAGATCAAAAAAAAAAAAACCTACTCTACTTCTTATGAAGTACCTTTTCAAATCTTTTTTAATCGCGATTCCGCTGGCTGTCTTTGTGTTATACGTTGGAAAAAAAATATCATATACGATCTTGTTATTTTATTTATTTATTTATTGACATGAAAAAAAAGGATTTCATTAATGAAAGATAGTTAAACGACACTTATAAACAATTCCGAGCAAAATTAAAATTCCAATACAAGTACAAATTACCTTAAAACTAGTTACATCGCATATTCGATCGACGATTGCCTTAATAAAAAACTTCATCCGAGGCAATACAATATGTGAGTTAGCACTAATTCGGCTTGAGATCTACTGACGAATAGTTGTTTGAGTGAAAATACTCATATACTCTTCAATACTTCCGGAGATTATGAAACCCTAAATCTTCAATCTTCAACAGACAAACACAAAAAGAAATTAACCCTAATAGAATAACCACCATCTCAAAGATGGGATCCATTTATTGAAAACAATTAAAAAGTTTTTGTGGGGCTTACCACTGGTAAAAACACCGATGAAAGCCCCTATAAAGATTCACAAAAGAGATCAGAAAAAAAGAGATGAAGGAGAAAGAGAGAAAAGGAGAAGAATGAAGGAAAACCTTCAAAAAAAAAAAGAACTTCAAAAAAAAAAAAAAAAAAAAAAAAACTAGCAATGGAGGCTAGAAAAACCCTCCCAAGAGAGAAATCCTATAGGGAACCAGAAAAACCCTCCCAAGAAGAAACCCTATAGGGAACCAAAAATTTCTTGTTAAATTTTGTTTTAATTTACTCTTTTAACAACATATTAAGTTTGTAAAATTTTTACAAACATATAATTTAAGATAATGATATAATATGTGCATTGACGAATGTGATAATTCAAATATCTATTAACCTATACTAAAAGCAAATCATTCAATGACACTTGTCATTACCTTGTGAAGAATTTTTTCCTGCCTTTTTCGCTTTTTTTTTTTTTTTTTTTTTTTTTTTTTTTTTTTTTTTTTGCAAAATCTTTAAGTAAACTATTTATACCTTATGTATTTTCTTTTCAGTTTGACAATCATATTCCATAATATACCCAAATAAAATATTTCTAAATATTTTTTATATACTTTATATATTGTAATATAATTGTCAAAAATATTTAACAACCGTGCATTACACGGAATTTTAACCTAGTTGTAATTATAGAAGAACGATGGAAGTATTTACTAGTGTGAACTCATGGATTAGCACGACTTTTATTCAATTGTCAAATAAAGATAATATTGATAGACAATGTGGAAATTATAAAATATACAATGTAAGCAATTTTTTATATGTGGCCGGCCACACCATGTGGTCGGGGTTACTCGAGTTACTAGGTCTGGGGCTACTTGAG